AAACCAAACTAAAATCTACCCCAATATACACCGTTGCAACTCATGCAAGGCAGACCTAACCCATATGTTCTGGTCATGTGACAAACTGAGACGATTTTAGTCTTTAATATTTGAGATCTTAAACTCAGCCTTCAATTTAAGAATTCAACCAAATCCGGAAATGGCTCTTTTTGGAGTAGCAAATGAGGACATCCATGTAGCCAAAGAAATAGATAACGCCTTTGCCTTTGTAACATTAATAGCCAGAAGAAGAATTCTTATGGAGTGGAAATCACCAATGCCACCTAAACTGTCACTTTGGCTTAGTGATGTAATGCTATTTTTGAAAACAGAAAAAATAAAATATTTTCTCAGAGGATCAACCAAAACATTTTTCAAAACATGGGACCCTCTAATAATTCATATTGAGACTAATGTACTCCTCCAACCATAAATTCCCAACAACACCCTTTTATTTATTTATTTATTTTTTTTGTCAATTTATTTTTATTTTATTCTCATTTTTATTATTATTATTTCTTATTATTATTAATATATATTTTTTATTTAATGCATTTCCTTTTTATATTAATTTTTATTATGTTCATTTGTCTGTTTCAAATGAATGTATGGTTCAAAAAAAAAGAAAAGAAAATACCTGTCAATAGCCCCTTTCACACAGTTATACCAGTAAATATCTGGAAAATTTCCGGAACGACTTTACCGGTATATTCAAAAAAGCGCTGTTCACACAGGCGAGGACGTTACGGAAATTTTCCGGAAAAGAGTATTCACACATCCATTCCAAAATACCGGTAAATACTGACATCATTCACCACAAATGAGCTTTAAACGGCTGCGCTTGTATTTGTAAACATTTGACTAAATTACAAACTCTGTGGATGATCAATATTGTGAACGACTTTCGCAGGATCACTTTCGATATGTGCGTGTGCAGGCGCTCACAGGCTGTTTCACAGGCACACGCAAAGCTTGAAGGTAAACAAACAACGGCTTATCATAAGCATCTCATATTCAAAGGAAAAATATTCAAAGGCTTTTATTCTCACAAACCGCGCGGGCGTAAATGCGTCTGACTGTTGTGATTGGCTAAAGCAGACGTCTCACGTCAGCACGTTCTAGACGTGCACGCGCTTATTACGGTAATCTTCCTTCTGCATTCACACAGCGCAGCATTCCAGCAAATTGCCGGTAATGTTACAACTTCTCTTTCCGGAAAATAGCCAGAACGAATTTACCGGTATTTTAAAAAAGGACCTGTTCACACATACAACCTTTCCGGAAAATTGCCGGCAATTTTCCGGAATGGTCTGTATGTGTGAAAGGGGCTATTGAATACCTGCAATGTACTGTACCTTTTGTCAAAAACACAATAAAAAAATGCAGCCATAGTGGCAGATTCAAAAACAAGACTAACAACCTATGTTTATGAAAGACAGATGGACACTAGTGGGCGGGGCTTTCCAAAGGGCCGGAGTGGGACTCCTTTCCAGCCCTGGAGTTTTAAGCCTCAGACCGGCCCACCTCAGTTCAGACTGACTATATTAAAATAAGGTCATTTCCAAATCAGTTTCTAATGCTACTATCACGTCTTTTTTTGAGAAAACATCTGCTTTAGAACTTCAAATGTTCAACAACCCTAACAGTCTTATATGTCTTAACAATAAAAATGAAAAAAATAAATCAATTACTCAGATAAGGATCGAACCCGGGTCTGCCGCGTCGTAAACTAAAGTGCTCTCCACTGAGCTGCGAGAAAAAAGATAAAAAAAAAGAGTAGAGCTGCGGTAAAATAATGAATAAAAAGGCTGTGGTCAAGTAAATAAATTAATAAATTTAAAAAGTGTGACTGCTGAGAACAACAGATTCTAAAGCTAGGGACACCGGCCCTTGTGGCCAAAAACGGACCGGCCCACCGGGAATTCCCCCGGTCCTCCCGATTAGCCAATCCGGGCCTGGCTTTCCCCCTCTGATGATGTGTACAAAAGGAAAATGTCAATTTCAAAGTCTACATTTCTGCACACTATTTTTATGAAGTGTGATAATAAAAATTAAAATGAATGATTTTTTACTATCAGACACTGGATATAGTCACAGACTGCTGCCACACAACTGTGTCTAAACCACTTATAAAATAGATTTAAGCATACAGTATCCTGCAGCAAACAGCTGTTTCAGTCAAGCACCAATTAATCTCTTCATCCTCAGCATATCTAAAGCTTCAGTCACAGATGGTTTCCTCCATTCATTTCCGGTGTGCTGATGAATGCGAGTGTTTGTTTGCGGCGGGATTAAGAACGACGCGTTTAATTAAAGAGGGGCGGATCTGCGTTCATTTGCGGATAATGGACTTCCTGCTTCCTGACGCTGGAGTTGCAAATTAATTCTAGCGAGCGGTGTTTGTGTTTTGCTTTTAAGCCTATTAAGTCCAATTACGGCGAGATTCAAGAAAGCCGAAGTGTTATTAATTCACCACGGGTGCAGTTTTTGCTCTTTGTGTGAAGTTATCAGCCACTGCAGTCTCTGTAATGAGTCGGGAACGGCTCCAAAATCATTTGTTTACACTCTGAAAATCACCGTCTAATGCTGCTTATCATTTATATCCAAGTGGAGACGTCTTCACCTCTGAATGAATGCATGCGGGTTTTCAAATTAACTTTATGGCACTTTTGAAAATGTCAAGTGAAACAGCAGCCCTGAAGTAAAAATAAAACTTAATGGCAAGCAAATTCTTAGCAAAACAAATTCCATTTAAGATTCATGGGTTTCTTCAAGAAAGTCCTTTGAAGGTATAATTTATATAGGGCAGTGCAAAATCGTGTGCAATAAAAATGTGATATAATGATAACTGTGTAAAAGATGATAGATTGAGTGATCAATAGCCCCTTTCACACAGTGATACCGGTAAATATCCGGAAAATTTCCGGAACGACTTTACTGGTAAATTCAAAAAAGCGCTGTTCACACAGGCGAGGACGTTACAGAATTTTTCCGGAAAAGAGCATTCACACATCCATCGCAAAATGCCGGTAAATTCTGACATCATTAACCGGAAATTACCTCTAAACGTCTGCGCTTGTGTTTGTAAACATTTGACTACATTACAAACTCTTTGGATAAATCAGTATTGAGTACAACTCCAATGAAAACATAGAGAAACACTTTCGCATGTCGAGATGTTCATGATATGTGTGTGTGCTGGCGCTATAGGCGCTCACTGGCACACGCAAAGCTTGAAGGTAAACAAACAACGGATTATCATAAACATTTTATCGATAATTATTTACACAGTTAGCATTAAGAAGGAACATAGAAACGTTATCTGACTAACATCTAGCAGCTAAAGGTTTCTGGAAAAATATTCAAAGGCTTTTATTCTCATAAACCGCGCACACGTGAATGCGTCTGACTGTTGTGATTGGCTAAAGCAGACGTCTCACGTCAGCACGTTCTAGACGTGGACGTGCTCTTTCCGGCAATCTTCCTTCTGCATTCACACAGCGCAGCATTCCGCCAAATTACCAGTAATGTTACAACTTCTCTTTCCGGAAAATAGCCAGAACTAATTTACCAGTATTTTCAAAAAGGGCCTGTTCACACATACACACCTTTCCAGGAAAATTGCTGGTAATTTTCCGGAAAGGTCTGTATGTGTGAAAGGGGCTACTGTCTGGTTGTAGAGAGAGCAGGAGCCAACGACAGAAATGGAGACCCCGGGAACTGAGACTGTTCATTCTATTCACCTAGAGAGGTAGAAACAGAAGAACATTTCCTACTTCACTTTGATCACTACCCCCACGTTAGAGTTGAATATTTCCAAAAAAATTCCAATTTATTTATCTAAATATGGCATTATCAAATTCGGTAAAATGACAATATATTTTAGGTGAAAATCCCACAATGACCCCAACAGCAGCCAAATACAAAAAAAAAGTCTGAGTTTGTGGCAGGCTGACACGTACTGTGGGGCATACTGTATGTTTCATAGCCACGTCACACCGAAACGCCTAAAGACTCGTTAAGAAGACGATTCATTCGAACCACTATGATTCGACTTTCTTTTCTTTTTTTTAGATGAATCAATAGTTTTAAAAACTGTCCACTTTCAGAATTAAGCTGGATATTCCACTTCACTTAGAGCTGTGTTACACTCTACATGGAAGGTCACCCATAATAGGGGCTCTCTAAATTAAGATTGCGACTTTATTGATATTGCATTGGATTCAGTGATTATGGAACTGCGAAAAACTAGGGGGTCTGAATCTAGTTCTCCACATGGTCTCCGATCCAGATACTGACCAGGCTCAGCCCTGCTTAGCTTAATCGAGCAACCGGTCTTGGGCAGCAAACACATAGGTCCCACTTTATATTAAGTGGCCTTTAACTAATAAGTACTTACACAGGAATTAATAGTTTGTACTTATTGTGTAAATACATGTATTTACTGTGTACTTATGCTTGATTAAATACCCGTATGTAATTACATCTGTAATTAACTTTTGTAACTACATTTGTAAATACACTGTTGACCATTCCTTGCACCATTGGTCACCAATCCAATTCAAAGTATACCTAGTAAGACCTTGATTAGCTTGTTTAGGTGTTTGATTAGGGTTGGAGCTAAAATCTGCAGGGCACCGGCCCTCCAGGAACAAGTTTGATGACCCCTGCCTTACACCTTAAACCACCCTTAAACCTACCCATACCACCAAACCTGTTCATAACCCAACCTCTATCCCAACTCAAAAGCACCACAAGTGTTTTCAAATACATTATAAACACAGTATTGTATTTATTTTTTGATGGAAGTACATAGTAGTTAAGGACACTTAATATAAATTGGGACCAACACATATTTTTCTTATATACTCTCTTGCACTAAAGTCATCAGCAATTTTTAAATATTTCCATTTGTTTCAATAACTCTAAACAATATGTGTGTGTCAGAAATAACCCACCAAACTGAAAGCGAGTGTTGTTGTTGTTTGTGATCTCTGCAGGTGTTTTGGAGAGGATGTGTGTATTTCTGTCCCTGACATTGAGGTGGTTGTCATGGTAATGCAGCCCAGTGAAGCACGCATCACAATCACTGGGGCGGAGCATCTCACAATCCCCGCCTACGACCTTGCCCTCGGCCTATCGCTGTTCAGAGATTTGCATATCATCAGCACGGTTACCAAAAGGGACAAAGTGACAAACATGGGTACAAAAAAAAGCCACATTTCTAGAAATGTCTGCTTTTTTTCTCACAATGTACAATTAACTCAAGCTTAAATTTAATTTACACACTGTTCTACATTTTACATATTGACCAGCCGCATTGTGTATCAGTATGAGATTTGACAGGGCATCATTTACAGCAAATAAAATGAAATAAAACTAGGAATGTAGAGCACAGGTTGCACTTTTTTGGTGCTTTATCATCATTTTTTGGAGCTTGACAGGATCCATCCTATGGCCAGGAGCAAAACTGCTAAACTTTACCTTCAGTGCTGCACAAAAGATAGTCAGTCAATGACACGAGGGCGAGTAAATGATGACAGATTTTTCCTCTTTGGGTGAACTATTTCTGCAGCAGAAACATTCTTGATGAAAACAGCCCACAAACGAAGTCCCCGAACGCAGCGCTGAGCACATTATTCACTGACAAACTGCGCAGGTGTCACGCTGTTTTGGTGGCAAACAACAGAACAACAGTAAATGCAAAAAAAAACATGTTAATAAATCATAAAAGGCAGATGCTCGCTGCACTTCCACACTGAACACAAGACGTGAGCCTCTGGAAAATCTCAAACACCCCAAGTCCACTGTCCTCACAGAAAACTACATTTTTCTTGCTCTTCTTAAATGAAATAAGTAGATATATGCAACAGTTCAGTTTTAAAGATATTTTTACTAACCAAAAATGCATAACATTAATTCAAAGTTATAGTAAATAATTAAATTACAAAAGAATTTCATTTTTTAAAATAAAAGATTTATTTTTTAAATAAACATGTTTTTTTTAAATCTTCTATTAAAACTTCCTAAAATAAATGCATCATGGTTTCCAAAAAAAAAACAAACAAACAAACATGAAGCACTGATTACACTCACCGGCCACTTTATTAGGTACACCTTACTAGTCCCGGGTTGGACACACTTTTATCCTTTGTGACAGATTCAACAAGGCACTGAAAATATTCCTCAGATATTTTGGTCCATATTGACATGATGGCATAACGCAGTTGCAGATTTGTCGGCTGCATGTGCATGATGCGAATCTCCCGTTCCACCACATCCCAAAGGTGCTCTATTAGATTGAGAATCTGGTGACTGTGGAGGCCATTTGAGTACAGTGAACTCACTGTCATGTTCAAGAAACCAATCTCAGATGATTTACGCTTTATGACATGGTGCGTTATCCTGCTGGAAGCAGCCATCAGATGGGTACACTGTGGTTATAAAGAGATGGACGTGGTCAGCAACAATACTCAGGTCAGGCTGTGCTGTTGACTTGATGCTCAATTGGTACTAATGGGCCCAAAGTGTGTCAAGAAAATATCCCCAACACCATTACACCACCACCAGCAGCCTAAACCTTAATACAAGGCAGGATGGATCCATGCTTTCATGCTGAACCTACCATCTAAATGTCGTAGCAGAAATGGAGACTCATCAGATCAGACAACGTTTTTCTAATCTTCTCATGTCCAATTTTGGTGAACCTGTGTGAATTGTAGCCTCAGTTTCCTGTTCTTGGCTGACAGGAGTGGCATCCGGTGTGGTCTTCTGCTGCTGTAGCCCATCCACCCCAAGAATCAAAGTGTTGTGTGTTCAGAGATGCTCTTCTGCATACCTCGGTTGTACGAGTGATCATTTGAATTACCTAATAAAGGCATACCTAATAAAGTGGCCGATGAGTTTGTAATTCATAATGTTCAATGAACTGCAAACTAGCCTATTAATATGATAGCTGAAGAATATTTTACATTTTCTTCTTCTTTTTATTATTATTACATAATTTTTGGTCAGTTAAATGTGGCCTTGGCGAGCATAAGAAATGTATTTCCAAACAAAACAAACCATAGACACTCTTAAGTTATTTTGTGGTATTTATTTAGTGGTGTGCAAAAATATTCCTTTATTCGCCAATATCATCGAAATAAATACTACAAAACCACTTAAGGGTGTCTATGATTAATAATCAAATACTTTACATGTTTGCGACACTCATCTCTATATGGTTAGTTTGCATGGTAGCTCACTTTATACCATGTTTTACTTGATGCAAATTGATCAGGTTGGAGTCTAGTAAAGCACAGTTCCACAAAAAACCCAGGTAAATCTATGTAGTCGCAGTGCCCGTTTATAATATAAATATCATTATTGTGTAAAGGAACATTATTTGTTAGGGTCATTCTGTCTCCTAGTGTTAATTTGAACTATAACCTGCAGTTAGACATAACACAAAAAAAAATGTAGACTGAAAGATGCATTTCCAATGAGCCTGCATTGATTTTCACAATTTTCACAATGTTACACTTTCACAAATTATTTTAAAATAATCCTATAATTTAAATAAAATTTGCACTTTCAAAGTCAATTTCTAAAGTCATGATGAAATTTTAGGCACTCAAAAATGCCAATCATAAACAATATTCATAAATCAACAGCCAAACTTGCTTTAAAAATGTAAATAATAATGACTTATAACTAAAGAAAATGTCTGTCAAACACCTAATAACAACTCGTTTCATTATTGTGTGTGTGCAGATCACAGGTCAAGTGCAAAGGAAACTGCTCATAATCTGGATTACTGTGACATCTTGGTATTGGGGGAGGAGTTAAGGGCGGGGCTAGAGAGTCTGGAACTGCATCACAGTGCCTTATTGGGAAAACACCTGGAATACGCCAACTCCAGCACCGGCATGTCCATATATGGTACGATCAAAAACTCAATTTCCTTCTCAAATTTTCCCCAATACAAACTCCTCAGCTCTGTCTTCATCGACATCTGTTGTAGGTGTGGACTCTATTTCTCACTACACTGAGGTGATCAGACAGGTGCGATATCAGAGCCGTCGTGCTGTCGATTCAGTCCGCACCTTCAGACTCACCTGTTCAGAACTCAACGGACGATACACTAGCGATCAGTACACATTACAGGTGAGAAACAAATGAAGAGATTATTGTTGTAGTCGCACTAATCAAGCCTCAGCTTTGATATGATCTCCCTCACTGTTCACAAGGTCAACATCCTTCACAGTGAGGAGGCCAGAGAACATGTCAATCATTTGATGACCCCACCCAAATCTATGCAAATTACTCATCGTACAGTCATGGAGTCTAACAACTACTTCAACTTAGGTGAGTCAAAGTCAGCCAGAATGTATGCGAATGAATGTTGTGTTGTAAAATAAGGCAGTTATTAAATAACATGATAGTAATTTTGTTTATTAATACTGATATTAATATTGGTGCGGCGCAAATGTTTGTTTTGCTATTTCCAGCCCAAGTACATGTCTCAAACATAATAATCCCACTTTATAATTAGGAGTAGTTCTATTAAGATGTCATAATTTTACTGTACATTAACAAACAAGACATTAAAAGTCTGTTCAAGTCCACCATAATGACTGTACAAAATTTAGCATTTTAAGCAGCAGTAGACCTACACATAGGCCTAATATTATTAGTTTTGTTTTACCATATCGTCACTTTAGAATGATAAGCTTCTATCTGACATTTTTGTCAAAATTGAGTTACTGACATATTCCTATTAAATGACAACTTATTTACATTCAATTCAGCTTTATTTGTATAGCGCTTTTACAATGTGGATTGTGTCAAAGCAGCTTCACATAAATGGTCATAGTAACTGGAGCAGTGTAGTTTAGTTTTTAGTGTTTAAGTTCAGTTCAGTTTAGCTCAGTTCAGTGCAATTTAAAATCATTACTGAGAGTTCAGACACTGAAGAGCAAATTCATCGATGCATAGCTCTACCAATCCTGAACCATGCAAGCCAGCCATTTACATTATGGGTTGTTTTTTTATAAGTTATTTATTATTTATTTATTTATAATTTTTAAACAGGAAAAGATTAAAAGATAATCGGGCCTGACTCAGCATGAATGCTGTTTTCAGCAGGTTCCTGCTCTGCAGAACATAAAAACAGACAGACATCTCATCCATCAACACAGTACAAACAATCACCAAACATATAAGATAAAGAAAAAGTTGTTTACATTTCAAGACTTAAAAAAAAATAATGTTACACACATACTGTTTGCTATAGGATTGCAAAAACTTTGAAGCTCAATATCTCAAAATCATTCAGAAGCCAGATAGAACCGTATAATTCTAAGGTGATGATACGTTTGAGAATTTGAGAATTAATTACATCTAAAGTATCATAAGAAAATCGGGATCTTGATTTTAAGCAAAAAAAAAAAAATTAACAATTCAAATTTTAGCCAGAATCGTGCAGCTCTACCCTAAATGTTTTTAAATTATTGCCATACTGAGAGCAGCCGCAGATAGTTCACCTCAGATTTTGAAATTAAAATACCTAGCAGACAGTTTGAAAATTAAAGTCAGAACTGTGATTCAGCTCAAATCAACATCAGTCACTCAGTAGCCTATTAATAACGTTAAAGACTTTTAATATGTAGAAATTAGATTAAAAGCCTTTGCCATTTTGTTGAGAGGCATGTCGTGTTTGGTGCCGACAGCCAAATTGCATGTTGTTCGGATACAGAGCCACTTTAAAATTCTAAAAGTAACAATAATAAAATCAAACTTGACAATATACACAGAAAGCTCATAACTTGGCATCTACTCTGTGCCTCCTAATTTGATGCATTTATTGTCATCTCTAGTTGTGCCTGCTGTTTCTACATCAGTGGTTGTGGTGTGCATCGCCGCCCTGCTGGTGGTTCTGCTGGGCGTTTACCAGCTCAACCAAACACAAAACAAAGACAGCATCCAAACACACACACTGGCAGAGGAACAAGTGGACTGTGAAGGCTCTTCTCTCTCCATCACTGTCAACCCACTGCAGGTACGACAAACCAGCCACAAAACCAGCCAACACAACACACAATCATGTAAAGAAGCTGCCAAGATGTTGACACCTGTCAAACTGTCAGAGCACACACACACACACACACACACACACACACACACAAGTCTCTATGAAAACACAAACTTCTTTTTACAGCTGACAGGACAGAACTGCAGTCGCACAATGAGCTGGAGCTTGTTTAAACTCGGTTGTTTCTAGAAAACAAATGTACTAGAGTCACATTCATGGAAACAATTAAGACATCCTAGGACATATCTTATTTGGACAAATCTCAGTTTCTCTTTATTTAACTGGACTGTTTTATCTATGGATTTGAGCAAAATGTTAATATTTATTTTGTTTTATAAAGGTAAAGGTTTTTGGAGCATTTCTTCCCAATCTCAATTAAGAATTGTGTAATTGAGACAAATTTTCTGGTCAGAATAAATTAATGGTGCATCAGTTAATGCATTTACTAACATAAACGACTAGCAATACATATCTTACACTATGTATGAAGCATCTTTGTTAACATGAGTTAACATTATGCATTATGTTAACATTATGTTAACATGATGCAACATTAAAAAGTCAAAAAAAATAATGATGTTATAGTAAATGTTAATAAATCTATCACTCTTCTGATTGTTCATACTTAATTCATGTCAGTAAATACATTAACTAATGCAGTGTTTCTAAACCACATTTCTGGAAGACCAACAGCTCTGCACATTTTCCGTATCTCATCAAAATATTTGCCTTAATCTGAATAAGACCATAATATGATTAAGGTGTTTACATGAGTTGCTTTTTAAATGTTCCTTTCATGATCCCGCCTTACCTGTTATAGCACATAATTCAATTAACATTGTCACTATGCTATCCACATTTCCTCTCGAGTTTCAAGTAATTTCGTGGGTTTCATTCTTAATTTGTCAAGTTTAACTGCAGTTTGAAAGTTTCACTTTCATTCAGGAATATTTCATGCATTCCCCCCAAATGAGGTACAAACACTGACGTAATAGTTTAAGGTGTTTACATTCGGAGAGCAGCATTTCCAGAGGATTATTGTAGTGATATGAACATACTGTAAACTTAAGCTCCTACACACCGGGACGCTTTTCATTTGCGTTTATTGTCAGCGTTTTACAAGATGTTTTTCCGCATTCAAACCCAAGCGATTTTCACTGGCGTAAACCAGAAGAGTATGCAAAATCACTCCGTGACGTTAGATAGCGCTACACAACTTTAAGCTTTCGACACCCGCTTGTAACACAGAAGAAGAGGAAAAGAGGAAGTTCATACGCTTGTTGTTAAAGTTACTGGTGACTCGAACAAGCATAGATGGTTCAAGTAGCAGCTCCAGCGCTAGTGATGAAGAAATTATTATTGTTCACAAGAGCAATAAAGCAGCTAAACGTTCATATCGCCTCTGGGCATCTTCTTCAATGTGCACTCGCATTGACAGTTTTGCGCTTGAGCGCCTCCAAGTGCTGTTTACTTTAACTTCAGCAGCTCCGTGCACGTGAACAAAAGTACCAACCTGATTGGTGGAAAAGGTTTTACCGCGGCGCGTCAAATAAAAAAAACGAGAATGAGGCTTTTTTTTTTTTAAATGATGCTTTTGGGCCTGCCATTTTGCACGTTGGTGTGCACAATCACATTGACGCCCTTTATTTAGTCACAAGGCGTTAAATGTCAACAGAAAACGCGGGCAAAAAATGTCTCTGTGTGCACAAGCCTTTACTAACTAAATCATTTTGACTAAGGTCTGTCTTTAAAATTAAAAGAGTACTGCTGACTATACTAACTAACTTCACCTCTGAATAAAAAAAGAACACTAATCACACACTTACCAAATCTGTAGAAACAGGACAATCAACAACAACTGGAATCGGGTCTTTTTTTTTTAAAGGAAGACGAGTGGCAAATCCAGATTTCAAGGATTTTTACCGGCGAGTAGAGACATCCAGTCTCCACACTGGAATTTACACAAGGATCTAATCGCCTTGACATACCTTCAAAATTTCTTTTCAAACCGCTAGAACAAATTAGCTCTAAATAACACAAAAACAACCAATTTTCAAATTTTTTGTGAAATATAGGTGTCCTATTAGTGTTTTTAGCAGCGTGGGGCACATATATGACTGTCAACACCTCAAAAAATGTGTTTTAGTGTTTCGTGACCGTTTAAGAGTATTATTACATTATAGTAGGGATGTAACGGTATCAGAATTTCACGGTACGGTAATACCTCGGTATGAATGTCACGGTACGGTATTTATTGAATCATTTACAGGAAAAAACAAAACTTATGAAAATACTCCAAAAAAGTGCCAAAAGTGTCAATGACATACAAATTAGCCATCTATCTGTAAGCTTTGAAACAGGAACTTCAATTTTAATAACAAAAAATTATTAAACCATGTAAAAACAATAAAGTTTCAATTTAGTATTGTTGAAAACTCATCACATTCAACATTTAATCACACTCAGCCCATCTACCCAGATGAGAGCTCTGCTAATCGGACTTCTCATCAAGCATCTCCCGCTGGATCTAATCTCACTATATTTATTAAACGGGATATTTCATTTATCTTGTTGTCTTTATCTAACGACATATTCCCTGACTTTGGGCATTGGAATCTATTACTTGTTCTCAGGTAACGTGTTTTGGCTGAGCGCAAAGATAAGTTAATGATTAATGTAACCACGTACATTCTGTATATTGACTGATCGCTTGCCTTTATTTCCTATAATGTATAAACTTATTGTATGTTATACTTTTAAAATGGCCATTATCGATTATTAAAACTGATACTCAGCAAAAGAGAGGCTGTGTTTCGTATTTTCACTGAAATTGAAAGGAGGCAGTTGTTATCGGCTCCGTTTTGTTATAAATATCCACACAGTGAAGATGACGCTCAACTTATGCAGCACGACGCCTCAACATGTCTGCTGTCTAAGTTGCTAATATTAAAATGAAAATAGGCAGTTCCTTAAATCATGTTTACATTTTATTGTTGATAAAGTGAAACAACGAAGCCAGGGTGATGTGAATGAAGTTATAAAGTACACTGTTCCCTTTGAAGATTTACCCGTGTCCTCGGTATAGTCTGCTTTTCCATATCAAACTGAGAAGAAGAGACTGCAGCCTTGATCAAACTTGCGAAGTCTGAACTTACACGGAGAGGATGCAGGAACTGAACTGTGCGTGTTAGGCTACCTAATATTCAGGAAAAGCCCCAATCAGAGAGGCGAACGTCTGCAGCCCCGCCTCCGTTTTCAGAAGTCTCCGTTTTCCATCATCCACACTGAGACATTATCCACACATTTCGAAACGCTCCGTTTTCGGCGCTCGAGAACTTCGGCGTAGTGTGGACGGTTGGCGTAACCGTAGCAAAACTTATGCGTTTTCAAACTAAAACGCATTAGTGTAAACAGGGCCTTAGAGTTTTCCAGCTCTTTTCATCCCCGCTTCTAGCAGCACACTCCATTTCCGCATTACTGGATCTGTAGCGACAACAGACCGCAAGGGATGATGGTCAAGCATGGGCTGATGGGTATTGTAGTTTTTGCTACCTCCCGTTCGCTTCATTCGCCTAAGCAAATTTTCTCAGAAGACCTATAGTTTTACCGAGTCATGCGACTTCGGTAATATCGAAAAAAATTAATATTGCGGTATGACGGTATTTACAATACCGTTACATCCCTACATTATAGTGATATTAAATTCTCATTTTTGGTAAACTATCCCTTTAATTTAAATTGCATAAACAGGCATAAACAAATAAAATGCAATGAACTGGAATATTTCACATCTATGTTGGTTCATTCTAGAATTGTCAGGAGCTTCAGTCAGCAGAAGTTACAGAGGAGGAGGAGGATGAAGAAGACTGCGCTATCTCTAGCACTGAATCCGACAGCGATGAGGAGGAAACAGACACACCTTTTACACATCGACAAACCAAGCAGCAATGGGGGAAAGCAACATTACACTGCTGAAAAACATCACAATGCTCTCTACCTGTAGCATTACAGCGTCCTGCAATACAAGTTTACAAGCAAACACACACATACACACACAGACATCCTCAGAAAAGACTCGACGCGGCACTGATCCTTCGTGGTACTGTTTCAGTTTGAGATGATGACAAACTAATAATAAAAAAAAACATCCCGTCTGATCCCTTTACGCTCTGTCTCTACCGCTGGAGGACAATAACAAAGCAGGAGACTGAAGCAGCGGTGAAACTCTGAATGCTCATAAAAGCAGCCGCCGGTTCGGGCTTTTGATATAAGAGAGTTTCTTTTTTTTTTTTTTTTTGAGGCCTCTACGGTGGATCTCATTGGATGGGAAATGATCATGCTAACATTAACGTCCTGAATTTTAGCTGTAATGAGAACACTTTTTGACATGATTCATTCAGTGCTGGGTAGATAACTGTAAAAAAACCTGTGTTGTTACTGATTACAATGCATAATTGTTGTAGGTAATCTACATTACACATTTTTTTAATTTTTGTGCTGTTGGGGATGTTTTCATCCACTCTAGGGTGATTTTGTGGGTCAATTTTCCACAACTAGTGATGTACGGATCACAAATCTCACAGTTCGGATCACATTATGGTTTTTTAGTCACGGATCGGACTATTTTTCGGATCAGCCAAAAAGGGGAGGAGACAAATGTCATTTGCATTCCATTTATTACAAAAACAGCACTGCGGGAAACTTTTGGTTTCAACAAACAGAATTTAAAAGCTGTAATTTTATTACAAATAAAATAAAGAAATAATCAGCTAAATAAAAATAAAATATTCTGTGAAAAAAAAATCACTGTTACTACTACTATTGCTGATGATGCTAAATTTTGAAATCTAACATTATTATTTGTAAAATCAATACTTTATTAGTATTATATATTATTTTTAGTCTCATTTTTAATAAATAATTCAGTCATACACTTATAAACCTTCATGTTTCATTGCTTGATGGATCATTATTTTTGAAGAATTATTTAGTGCATATTTTTGATAGCTGATTTAACCTATTGGTTAAATAATATAATTGCTGCCTACAACTTACATTTTTTGAGCATATGACAGTGATTTTAATCTTTACCATAAACACCAGTGGTTTTATCTTAAATATAAACTATTATTCCAGTACTTCTGTGTTATTTGACCGTTCATAACTAACTCGAAAGACTAAAACTGAATCTCTTTCTTGATTTTTGTTTTTCAAACGCAAATTTGAATGCAGCGATTTATAATTTATGTTGCGTGGATGTTGAGATCCCGATCTTACACTTAGCTTACTCGGCTTACACTGAATGCATTAATGCAGGCTAAACAAGTAGTGATAGAAAACACCTTTAATAACCTAAGAAACCCACCACATCCCGAATAACCAACCTCAAATTCTTTCATCGTCATTATATTTTTCAGGAAAGCCTATTTGCTTTCATACATGTGATCTGAATGACACGAGAAGCGATCTCTCTGCAATCGTTACAAATTTAGGCTTAATCTGCAAGCTTTTGAAAAATGTATTATTCCGCAGGTCACGTGTCCCAAACCGTGGGTTGTGATCCATACGAATCACGGATTAACTGTGATTTGTTACACCCCTAGCCACACTGTCTCGTAATGAAATGAAATAATTTTTGGTGACAAAACAAATTGACACACATTTTGGGGAAAAGTTTTGAAATTTGAAAAAAAAAAATAATAATAATAATTCAACAATACACTGGGCAAATTGACTACACTTTCTTTATGCTAGTAGCTGTTTTTGCCCCATTGACTTCCATTATAATGACATTTTTTATTGCAATTCCATGACACCATATTATTATGCAGTTTTGATTGCTTTTGGTTTTCCCTGTTGGGAAGAGGTCAAATTTGCCATTTAACTGTTGATCATCAGTTGCAGTAAAAAATAAATAAATAAATAAATAAAAATAAAAAGTTTAGCTTAGCTTAGCTTAGTTTTTGCCTTCTGTACTTTTCACACAGGCCTATGTGAAGGGTTAATGGTGTCAACAGATGATCAACAGTAAAAAAAGACACATCACACAAAGGTTGCATTATTATGTACCATATTATTCTTAAAATTAGGGTGGCACAGCTAAGATTTGTTTAGGCCGATACCAATTCCAAACAAAACATTTTAGGCTGATTTTGAAGCTGGTCAATTGCATACAATACTCTTTTGCATATTAATTTAGAAAAATAGTCATTGGATCCATTTAGCATTCAGTTGTCCAAACATTGATCAAGAGTGGTACAAGTTAAGCTTTCTTTAAAAATTACTATGACAATCTTGCTATTCTTTATTTTTAACAGCATTAACTTTACATTGACATATAATAAAACATATTTATTTAACATACCTACTGTAAATCAAGCCAGTGCTATAGCTATATGTAAATTACATATTATTTAAAAATTATTTAAAGGGGGTGACGCAGTGGGTAGTACTGTCGCTTCAAAGCAAGAAAATCGCTGGTTTGAGCCTCAGCTTGGTCAGTTGGCATTTCAGTGTAGAGTTTGCATGTTCTTCCCGTGTTTGTGTGTGTTTCCTCCGGCTGCTTCGATTTTCTCCAGTCTAAACACATGCACTAAAGGTGAATTGAATAAGCTAGATTGTCCGTAGTGTATGTGTGTGAATGAGAGTGTATGGGTTTCCCAGTAATGGGTTGCAGCTGGAAGGGTATCTGCTGCATAAAAAATATGATGTAAAAGTTGGCGGTTCATTCCGCTGTGGCGACCCCTGATGAATAAAGAGACTAAGCTGAAGGAAAATGAATGAATGACTATTTATAGGCAATTAACATCTAAAAACAATTGGTTATACAATGCAAAGGATTAAAAATCCATGGAAGTTATGCAAGCGAGACTAACAGACTGAAGTAAAAAAAAAAAATCATACCTCAGGTATGTAGAAATGATGTCAATATTAATGTCAATATTGGGGGGGGGGGGGTGTAACAAATTGATCTACAATAACTTCTTTCTAAATATGAAAAGTAATAAATATTCATTAATTTAATATGGGCTAAATTCATTAATTTAACTCATATGTAAAAATACAAGTTGTTTATAGTAAATACTACAGTGTTTTTGAACTGTACTACAGTAATCTGATAGATAGATAGATAATATTTTGCTGTAATATATATATATATATATATATATATATATATATATATATATATATATATATATATATATAGTTAATCTGTTCACTACGGCTAATACTACATTATTCATTGACAGAGTAGTGAATACTACAATATCAGCATACACTTTACAACAATATTGTTCAGAAACACTATCGTATTTACTATAGTTTTTATATTGTGGCCTACTACCCAGCACTAGTGAATCTTGTACATGTCATCAGCACCTTTTAATAGTCATTTTCTCTGTGTAACACTGCAGTGTGTTTGTGTGCGAGGTGTTTCGTAAATGACGGTTTACTCGTTATAACGTGCAAATGAATGTGTGTATTTGTTCACCTTACCGACCCAGATTGCTCCTTCATGTGGTCATCGCCGCACTTTCTGTATCTTGGTTAATAAAAACAGTTTTAAGAGATTAGCCGTCTCATTTTTGCTCTTTAACAAGCGTCAAACGTTTGCTGTACGACAAACTATAACCAACTGTCGCTAGCAGCTCTAACGAAGAGCACCTGTTGTTGACGCTATAGGCAATACAACAGCGCCATCCAGTGGTCAATCATATGTAGCACGTAGATACGGTCATACGTCAGATTACTAGGTGTGTACTAGAAATATTTGATAAAATTAATTGGAAAAAAACTTGGCTCTTACCTTACAAATTGTGTGTTCCCAACAAAGTTAAAAAATTAATTTAAAAAAAGTGTTACACAATATCTACCCCACAAATGAGATTGTATCTAAATTCGGTAATCCTAACCCAAATTGTGTCTTCTGTACCTCAAGCATCAAATCAATTGATCATCTTTTTGTCAAATGCCCACATGTCAATGTTTTGGTCTGATTTATCTGTTTATTTTTCATCAAAATGTAAGTTTAGCATTGATTTTTCAACGTGTGATATAATTTGTTACTTTTCTCATGAAAAACATTTACTAAATTTTATATTCACAAATGTAAATTTTCTTCATCATTACCTAAACTGCAGAATTTTCTTTGTGACTTAAATTGTTTAATTACTACTTTACAAAATGTTTACAGCAAAAAAAGTGTTAAAACTGACATTTTATAAGGACTTTGTAAATATTGTTTAATTTGATAATTTGCCTCTGTACTCAGATTCTTTTATTTTATTTATTTATTTATTTATTTATTTATTGTTGTACTTGATGTCATCCATTGTTACGATTAATATGTTTGTATTGCTAAAACACAATAAAAAAAATAATAAAATAATAAAATATTTAATAACAATAATAATAATAATAAGCTAAAATATTTTGTAGTGAACGCCCTAAAATGGATAGTTCACTTAACAAATGACAATTCTGTGATCTATATTAATCTACTATATTAATGTTAAGTAATATGGAAAAAGGCCGAAAACCAGTAAGTTATGTTATATGATTACGTTAACCATTGACCAACATTGACGTCCATAGTATTTGCCACGTGAGGGTGAGTAAATGGTGAGTACATTATCATTTTTGGGTGAACTAACCCTTTTAAACCCCACAATACATACAGGGTTTTATACTTGTTAGCTCAACCAGGGTGTTTAGCTAAACGTTTATTTAGATGCCTGAATATTTTAGAGAAGGGAAGATATCATTTGCTCTTAGATTTGAGTCAAACTACAGAGAGTATAAATGACTGTCAATGCTGTTAATTTTAAACTGATTGCTAAATCCCATTTTGTTAAATTAAATAATTTATAATTAATTACTTCAGTAGCATTTAAATTTAATTAGCATGCGCTTTCTGATTGGAATAGCTCATCTGTGGTGAATATACTGTAACTTGTTTTTTGTAACCCAACAAAGCACCAAATTTTTAACTTAATTGGTTGAGTTATCAATAAATAACCAGACAAAAGGTTAAAAATAACCCAACAAGGCACCAAATATGTTTAACTCTACCATTGGGTTAAATAAATAACTCAAGGTGTTTTTAGAGTGTACGTGTACCACTAGGGGTACACAGAAGAATCAAATGTGTCATATGTACATGCTACATATATTTGAAAATGTATAGTAATGATTTATATATAAATATGATGACATATAGCCTATATTTCCAGGTGTTGATACTTGACATTTAAGTACAAGTGTTTGTTTTTTGACTTTTTAAGAACAGTAACCTATCATTTATAACTTTTAAAAGCACATTTTAATTTAAATGTTGACAATTTTATTTATTTATTTATTTAAATAAAAGCACAGTACAGGGTTAATGTTCAAACAATTTATAATGTTTAAAGTGGCTGACAATAATATTTTTAATAATATTTCTCACCATTTTAATATTGCTCATTACATGGAGAGACCTTTTTTTCTGAGGTGGTACTTGATGAAAAAAATGTGAAAACCACTGCTCTAATCAATAAATTGAATTGTATAACAAGTATTTATCATAATTAATTGAATTAAAAACATAAATGTCTAATGATTTTCAAATATGTTACATAAATTGATCTAAAGGATAAAAACAAACACGCTAAAATAATAACAAAACCTGAACATGTTACATATCAATAAAACAATGCAACTATGTAAAATATAAAACGTATAGATCCATGAAAATCACCTTAAACGCAAATAAGCAGCTTCATCTAGTATCAACATTCTTTCATTAATCTCTGATTTATCAGGGGTAACCACAGCGAAATGAACCACCAACTATTCTGGCATATGTTTTACGCAGCAGATGCCCTTCCAGCCGCAACCAAGTACTGGGAAACACCCACACACACTCACATTCACACACACCCTACAGCCAATTTAGTTCACCCAATTCCCCTATAGCGCAGTTTGCTGGAATGTAAGGGAAACCGGAGGACCCAGAGGAAACACACGCCAACATAAGGAGGACGTGCAAACTACACAAAAATGCCAACAGGCCCGGTCAAGACTCAAACCAGCAACCTTTTTGCTATAAGATGACAGTTCTAACCACCAGGGGTCCGTTCTTCGTACCTCGCTTAAATGATCTAAGATGATTTGGCAGATCCTGGATCTGTTCATCTCGATATCTGATCTCTCGCTAATTTGGTTTTTCAAAGAAGTTCGCGAATCAGATTGGAATCTCTGGATGAACTGATCTGAGATCGCTGCGTGTGTTGTGAAGGACAGATCTATCGATCCTCGAAATCATGATCAGCAATGCAACGATTGGCTGACCGCACATCAACGTAATGACATCATCTGATTAATAGTCAAATATTCATGTGAGCAAAATTACACCAAATTAGCAGTAAGCGGTTTGTTAAATATGACACGCAATAACTTTCAGCATTTGTTGTGAGCTGCAGGCTTTACACTTTCAAGTCACCGTCATATTAACTGTCAAAGCATGTTTATGTCAGCATAAATGTATTATTGCTTTAAAAAAAAAAAAAAAAATTCACACATTGTGCATTTCTATTATACACAAATTGTTCTAAAGCGATCTAAAAAGTTAATATCAATAAGTTTTCTCTTTGCACCACCAGGTAGCAGTCTTGGTACTTTCATTTCGAAGTGCATATATATATGTTTAACTTGTATGTATATATATATATATATATATATATATATATATATATATATATATATATATATATATATATATATATATATATATATATAGTTAAAAAAGTTACTATTTTCCCAAGTGTATATAACTACTACTTTAAGAAAATATCAGCATTTGGTACATACTTTCAGTATTTTCTTTGCATGAACTGAGCTGATCTAATCCTGTTTATGTGAATTGAACCTGCTGCCTAGCAGGTTTGATCTACAAGAACTGTTGCTATGACAACAACTCTCGGATCAGCTTTGAAGAACGAAACGATCCTGGATCGTGTTAAATCGTCAACATCCAAATAATCCACGTATGAAGAACGGACCCCCGTGCTAAACATTATCAGAGGTAAATAAAAAGCAAACGATTGTGTGTTTTAAGTTTTCATTTTATTCACATTTGAAAGGTCATGAATGTACAACTGTTGTGTTTCTGCTTGATCTGTGATGTAAAAGAGGAACATCAAATTCATATAAAAAATCTGTAAAAATCTCAACAAGCCTCGCGTTTATACGCTTAAAAACCGATTGAATCAGCTTCGTCATGATTACAACAGAAAATATACATATATATATTTAATACGCACGCAAACAAACAAAACAAAGATTGTAAAAGATCTCAGGCACTGCGGATGTCTATTAGTGAAGACTGGTGACAGAATAAGAACCTCGTTGTCTGTTTGTTTTCCTTAGTCCTTAGTTCTGAGTTAAAAGTGAAGAACAATAATAAAAAACATCAGCTCAAGAGTAATATTTCCACGGAAGACATGAACGTAAAACACCTTTTATTACAATCATCTCATAATCATGTATAAAAACCAGGTACTCATCGTTTGATGGCATCCTAAATATATGAGCGTATCTGTGCAAAGACTCTACAGCTCGTGTCCAGTGACCGCAGGTGCGTGTTTGAGTCTCTCATTGGTACTGCAGGTAGTTTTTGAGTGTCTGTGGCAGTGGCAGAGACTGGATGTGATGGATTCGGTGGCGTCCCAGTGCCTGTCGCGCTGCTCTTCTGCACAGCTCCATCAGCGGCAGGGGTTCAGCTGCGGGACACAGCACAAGTCAGTCGGGGTCAAAAGGCAAGGGTCAAACATCAAGCAATCATGTGAAAACACTCATCATTAGGACTTTAAAGGCAAACATTGAGCTTGGATAAACTGAACAATTCATGGTTGTGCTATTGTGTTATTATTAGGGGCCAAGGTATACCGTGATTTGGAAAAGTCAAGGTTTTAAAACCACAATAGTTTTCTGTAATACCCTTCCTAGAGTATGTGTAAATTTTGTTTACTTTTTTTGTTGTTTTTTAGGACAACAGTGTCTCCAGCAGAAAAAAAATATAAAAAGATGCCGTTTTAAATTGTAAACAAATCTGTTTTTAAAACAAATGAAGACAGCAGAAGTCAATTATTCATTTGAATTATATAGCCTGGCATGTTAACTGCTCCAAAATATAACAAAAATAAATAAATAAATAAAAGAAAATAAATAAATAAAAATTATATATATATATATATATATATATTTTTTTTTTTTTTTTTTTTAATTAATTAATTAATTTATTTATTTTTAATATATATATTTTTGTTTTTTACCCAGACATGCAGGGATTCTCAACCGGTGGGCCGCAAGATTAAACTTAACTTAAAGGTGCAGTAGGTAATTGTCTTCAGAAACATTTGTTGTTGTGCTGGTTGACAGTCTCTTCACAGTCCAATAGTAATGATTAAAGTAAATTATCTTAATGGATTTATATGTATTTTTATATTTTGGGTAAGGCATAAAACTAAAAAATGTTCATCCAATTAACTAGAGTCGGGCCAACATCTCTCATAATTCCGATAAGTAGCTCAATCGGTCAGCAAATGCAGATTTGAACAACTGCGCAGCCGTTTGTACGCAGCTCCGCTGACCTCTTTTTGTGGATAGACATGCTGCGCGTTCACGAGAGAGAGAGAGAGCATGCATTAATTACATTAATTATTGTATAATAATTATTTCATTTCATTAATAAATGTTATATAAAAATGATTGCTGTAATTGCATTTCCCGTTTTCTGTCATTGATTACTTCGGACTTGATGCAAAAAGAGCCTCACTGTAAAATACGGACAACTCCACTTCCAACAGCTGCGCGTCAATTAGGACTACATGCTCAGCTGTATAAAGCAAATTGTCACGCAAATGTAAAGATAACGATGATTAGAGTTATAACCAGTTCAAGCGTGCCTCACATCTGCGACTTGTATCAGAATCGCACATTTCCATTGATTCACAAACTATCCGTGCTCTCTTTGTGTGAACTTTTTGAAATATCAGCATAGTTGTCCAAAATAGTGTTTTATAACACGAGTGCGAGTTTTGTTAACAGACGTGCCCATACAAGAGTATCTAGCGAGACTTGGTGGTGTTGTAGTGAGCAGCTGTTCACTACTGTCAGCAAACTCCAATAATATCCTAAAAACCCAAACGCCTTCAGATCGATGCGTTTCAACAGACTTAAGAGTGTTTTTACTGTATTTTACTATTTTGTTTGTTTATTTTCATGGATATGATCAATAGATGAATAGTAGTAGGTCCAATTCAAAGCAGCAGTTTTTTTATCATCTCCTGTCGTCCTGTACAGGTTCATTTATTAAAGGCCCAAAATACTCTGCAGTATAAATACCTGAAAAATTCAGGAGCTTTAAATCTGAGTGCGTTTAAAAAAAAAAGAGAAAATATATATTATTATATATTCTATTTTTCATTTATAAATGCTGTAGAAGAACAAGATAATAATAGTTCAAGCAAAAAAAATGGTTTGCTAATTAATAAAAGGTTTAAAACAAGCATTTTCTCGAGACAATCAGTTTTTTAAAAAATGTCAGACGTGGGTTTCAAAAATTTTTTGGATGTGGCCCAGAAGTGAAAAAGGTTGAGAGCCCCTGTTTTAGAGCGGTAATCACAATACCGTGATATTTTTATCCAAGGTTATCATACCGTCAGAATCTTATACGCTTATTTCACGCGGCCGCCATTTTAAAGAACCAAAGCGAGGCTGCGGTGGGAAGAAACCCGGAAGTGTAGGACCAGCACTGTAAACATTGCAGCAACATGCTGTGGACTACAAACCTCCAGCTGTTGTCGAGATTTCAAAATGCAGAAATGGTGTAACCATCACTTTAATATTATACAGTAAGTTTAATTTAAACATTGAAGCGCCGCTGAGCGCGGATGACTCGACTGATCTTCACGGCTGCTTCGCACTCCAGTCTCCGTGCATCTGTGTTTGCACTCAGTTTACCGCTCTTCACCCAGTGTAAACACAGATACACAGAGACTGGAGCGAGAAGCAGCCACAAAGATGTCGAGTCATCTAGCAGATCGCACAGCTCGTCTGTGTATGTGCTCAGTAAACAGCGGTGGGTGAAATGATGACCTTCTCGGCCAATCACAAGCATTTCTGTTGAGCACGTGAACACAATGGCAAATCAGCGCTGTTTTAAGAAAGCCATCAACAGTGCCTTAAATGTTAGCGCGAAATTGATGTTTTTTTCTTTTAATTCAGTATTATGACGAGTCTAAAATAGTGAAAGAATCAGTTCATTAGCTCGAGTTTGATAAATGGCATCTAAAACGTGTGTTTGGGATAGAAATTGTTAGCTAACTAGTGCCATTTCGCTTAACTTAGCTGAAAATGATCTCTGATGTTTCTTTTTATTTTCACCATTCATTCAGAACGGACCTTCGGGTCACTCGGAAGGTGGTGGAATAATACATTTGTGTCACTTTCACTGATAAGATATACAGCCAAGTACACAACGTTCCTTTGTAACTCCCAACTATACTTTCGGGTATCAGCCTCGATTTCACGTTTAAAAATGGCGGCCGCGTGAAATCAGTCTATACCGGCCCATGCCAATAGGTACCTATTTTATCCGTTCCGGTTCTTATTATTATTATTCTCCTTCTTCTACTGCTATGGAATTATATGGCAGCCTTTTGAACTGTTTGCAGCATTTGCGCAAACTTTGGCACACTGATAGAGGACAGTCTGATTTTCAACCACAACAAATTTGGACTCTCTAACTCTCTAGCAACACAACTTGCCCAAAGTTTAATTTATGCTTACTGTATCTTTATAACTTTTGGGCTACAATCAAAATTCTTTTTTCCTTTGATTCCTTGGCTCAAGCAGACTCCAACGTACCCTATGACGTCCTTTTTATTATCATTATTATCATTAACATTGCTATGTTTCTAATTTTAGACTGAAGTAGTTGTTTAGTAATTGTAAGGTAAATGAAGCTGTTTTGTTCTGCTTTTGGTGAGGGTTATATAGTTTGTAGATAGATTTATTCGAAAATTAATTAAAAACAATATTCAAACAATAAGTAAAAGAGACTGCAAAACAGTTTTAATCCTGCAGCAATGCTGAGTGTCTGGATAAAAGCATTTGCCAGATGAATAAAACTGAAATCAATTTGATTTACATTTAGCGTGACCTGCATGTCCAGTTACATTAAACTCAACTGTAAGCTAATAAAATAATAAATACAACTAAGTTTAGCATATGACCCCTATTAAATGTTTATGAAATGCTTCACACTCTGTTCAAACTCCCATTAAACAGCATTTTTAGAGGTTTGGAAACATGAATGTTTGCATTATGCCGACATTATGGAAAATAATATAATTCCTATTAAATGAGCTGCAAGTAAACATGTTTTTCTCAGTTACTACGAGTGATTGTGAAATTACTGAGATCATGAAGCAACAGCATAGCTATGAAGCTACAAGAAGGAAAACACTTCTGCCAACAGCTTTGCCCAGACTTACAGCACTGAATGAGTCAACACTAGATGTCTACAGTTAAAGCCAGTCTCAAGATTTGAGTTGCGATTTTCTGTGAAAATAATTGTAGCGTGCGATTATATGGACTCTGATATAAAAAATAAAAAAATTAAGGCCCTGTAAAGTTTGACAATCTCAACTAGGGCTGCACAATATTGGAAAAATCTGACATTGTGATATTTTGTTTTTCTGGGGCAATATCAATAATATTTCATCAGATTACTTGAATAGCTCTTTTTGGAAAAACATCATGAATTTGATTGGGGTGATTTCGTAAGGGTGTGAATCAAGTATATAAAAAATAAACAAAATTGCTAGCATGAATAATTACAACAGAGCAAAGAAAAAAAGCTAAATAATCAAATAATATGAATAAACAGTGTTCATGGCTTTCCAGAGAATCAAACGGTATTCAGGTACAGAAATCCAATAATGAAATGTAAAACACTGTATGGTCGTCATCATATTAATAATTCAGTAAAATTAAACCTCATCAAAGTTACAAATGTTGTACTTTTGTGTCTGAATGCTTTCCCTCTCTTAAAATGCGTTTGAAACGCATGCAAATGATAAAGTTTTCCTCTGTTATGGCTATACAATGACTCCACAAATCTCATGTATTTTCAATAGTTGTGCTGATCAACTATAATCCCTCAACACTGAATATCCTGTGATTTATTCTAGCATTACAATTAGAGAGCTTTATATATATATATATATATATATATATATATATATATATATTCATTGCTGATGGTTTTCCCTGTTGGGAAGAGGTTAAATGAGTAACTTTTAACAGTTGATCATCAGTTGGCAGTGTTAACACTTTAGATAGTAGAGGTGTCACGGATATGGTTGATCAACCATGATCACAACCCAAGGTTTGGAAGACACATGACCTGTGAATTAATGCATTTATTTTTTTCTTGTAATTTCAATGACGTGAGAGGCAATCTTTCTGCAATCATTACAAATTTAGGATTCATCAACTTGTATGAAAGCGTTTAGGCTTTCCTGTAAAACATAATGATGATGAAAAGAGTTGTTGAATATTCGGGATGTGCTGGATTTCTTAGGTTATTAAAGGCGTTTTCTATCACTACTTGTTTAGACTGCATTAATGCATTTGGTGTAAGCTGCACGATTAATCATTAAAAGATCGGGATCTCAACACCCACACAACATAAATTAAAAAATGATGGTGATTTGCACATGTTTATTAATTTTTAGTTATGAAGTTACAAAACAGTCAAATAACACAGAAGTACTGGAATAACAGTTTATAGTTTAGAAAAAAAAACACTGATATGTATGGCATACATGCCAACACTCCCGTTTTTCCCAGGGGTCTACCGTATTTCAGAGCCATCTCCTGCCTACCTCCCGTTTTGTTATTTCTCACAGAAAACACCCCCTCCCTAGTGTTGTTGAATTTATGAAAAATTTTAAAAGTATTTTTCCAAAATATGTGTAAAAATAAGATTTAGCCAGCAAAAATCACTCCATTAGCTGAAACAAAGACAAAATTGTGACCAAATTAAGACTCAAAATCCCCCCAGATTGGATGAAAACATCCCCAACAGCACACATGGGTTACCACATGGCTATTTATGCTGGCTAAAGATCTTTTTTCAGATCATCATGCACTTCTCATATATGGCAATGAAGGAAATTATTGTAAAACTGAAAAAGAAAATAAATACATACGATCTAATCCGTTGATGTAGTTCATGCTGACTTCACAGTGGCCCCAGACAGCGCTGACGATCGGGTACAGCCTCTTCCCCTTCAGCCCTCGAAACGCCACTCCCAGATAATTTCCATCAGCACAGAATCCCAGCGTTCCCTCGTCCATATCCAACACCACCAAAATCTCCTCCGGCACAGAGAACGTGCCTTCCTCATCCTCATCTTCCACGAACTCCGGATACGGCGGCGCTGGCCCAGATCGGCTCTTTCGATCATGGTAAAGCCGACCTCGTCCCAAATCCCACCCCCAGGATTCAGCATCACTTCCAACTAGAGCAGAATACCCAACAGCTCGTAAAGTAGCTAAAGAAGTGGCCACTCCAACCACAGCATGAGTGCCCCGCTGCCGTACAGGCCATCGTAAACTCCATGCATGCAAACCTCGGGTGAAGCCGGTTTTCCCGCGCACACAGTCAGTGCTTTGGGCCACCGGGTGGCGGTGGAACGTGAGCCGGTCATCGTCTTTGATAAACAGGTTTGGCGAACGGTCGTCTGGGTTCCAGGCGTGCTGAAGCTGGGCTTCCGAACCAGCCGGAGGCATATCCAACAGCAGCTCCAGACGGGCAGGTAAAGGGACACCTCGATTTCGAAGCGCCGCACACACTGGTGGATACGCCAGCTCACCCACCTCCTGCTCATCCGCTGATTTGACCACACCCGATACCCTCTGCCCCATCACTGCCCAGCCTCGGGCATCAACAACCACAGGCTGTGTTACCTCATGAGCAGAGCCGACCCGAGAGCCTCAGCCAATCAGAAGAGACGACACAGTCTCATTCACAAGAACACGTTCAGATGGAAGAGAGCAAACCTGTGGAGGAGAATAAAAGACAGTAAGGAAGCTTGTTCGGACATTTACAGACACTGGTTACGTCCTAAAAGACACACTATGGACTTATGATACACTATGCATTTATACACTAAATGGTTTAGTCTGAGTTTAGGGTCTTCCCAACGTTTTTTACTACCCAGAAACTTGAACCATTTCACAGTCAACATTTATTGGCTGCCAAATTTGTAAAAAACTAAAACAACTGGAAAGAACTACCAAATAGTAGTGTTTTGTGTGCTGCTAAATTTTAAAATCAAACTATTCTCAGACTAGCTGAACATAGATGAAAAATGATGCCACATAGATGTTAAAAAAAAGAGAAGCTGAAAAAGAAGAAGTTCAGAGGTTTAACTACAGTAAAGCAAATTTTTAAATAGATTTTTACAATTTTATAGATTAAAAGTTTATAAAAATAAAAGCAATGCTGAATTTTTAGCATCGCTGTTCCAGTCTTTAGAGCAGGGGTCACCAATCTCGTTCCTGGAGGGCCGGTGTCCCTGCAGGGTTTAGCTCCAACTTGCTTCAACACACCTGTCTGGATGTTTCAAGTATACCTAGTAAGACCTTGATTAGCTTGTTCAGGTGTGTTTGATTAGGGTTGGAGCTAAAATCTGCAGGACACCGGCCCTCCAAGAACAAGTTTGGTGACCGCTGCTTTAGAGTCACATGAGCCTTGTGAAACCATTTTATTGTTGATTTGCTGTTTAAAAAAAACAATCTCAATTAATATTAATTAATGCTGAAAACAGTTGTGGTGCTTTATATTTATATCAAAACATTTTTTTTCTATAATAGTTTAGGATAAGAGTAGGAATTTATAGTAGGAACATTTATTTGATGCATTAATTTTTTTGTAAAATTTTTACTTATATATTTTTATCAATTGAATGGGGGTTCACTCAACTTAAAAATAATTCACAATTTTTATAAAAAAAGACATTTTCAATTGTTTTAATTTCACAGGGATATTATTAAACTCTTCGCTTATTGAAATTATACATTTTATAAGTAAAAAAAAACAACTACAGTAGGTGAGAGTTCAATTTGGCTATTACCGCAGGAGGATTTACCGCCGCCGTTTGAAATAGCTGCCGCTCTGTTGTTAGCTATGACAGCCATTTTTGAATAAGCCGCCAGGGGGCGCAAAGGGACGGGATGCGAACGGACAGAAATAGCCTACAGCAGCTTTAAATATGCTATTGTGCTTGTAAATGAGATAAGAAAATAAGTCAAAGCATTATAATTCTGTAAATCACCTTACTGGGGTTAATGAAGTCATTCGATAATATAATTTTATTATATAATCTTAGTAATTTTTAATTAATCAATCAACTTTTATTTATATAGCACTTTACTACAACCAAGGTTGACCAAAGTGCTTTACACAAGTAAAAGTTATACAACACAACAGAAAAGGAGTCGATGCAAAACAATACAAAAAATATCAATAAAATCAAACAAACATTAAAACATAATGAAGTGTCAGTGCTATGCATAAAAAGCCAATTTAAACAAGTGGGTCTTAAGCTTAGCTTTAAAAACTGGCAGGTGAGTGATTGTACAAAGCTCAGTTGGAAGAGTATTCCAGAGTTTAGGACTTGCCACTACAAAAGAGCCATCACCCCACTGCTTGTATCTTGACCGAGGGACTTCAAGCAGAAGTTGGTCAGCAGATCGCAAAGCCCTACTGGGTTTGTGAATGTGTAAAATTTCATATTAATATGTGCAAGGCTACTGACGGCATTAAAAACAAACAAAGTGCATTACAGTAGTCCAAACGCGAACTAACAAAAGCATGGACGGCTATCTCAACATCAGCCTTGCTCAGGAAGGGCTAGACTTGAAAGAGAATCACCAAATTAATCTGCTTATCAAATTTTAGACTACTGTCTAGTCTCACACCCAAGTTTTTGACCACATGACTGAAGCAAAGAAACTGAGCCAGATGCGCTGGAGATGAAATGGTTGACCTCTTAGAATTGTCAAACAGAATCAACTCAGTTTTGTCTTCAATTAGACAGAGAAAATTGTGACAGCCATATCTTAATATCATTAAAACAATTGCTAAAAGAATTAAGTGAATCTAAAAAGTTTGGTGTGACAGGAATATAAAGCTGTACACCGTCAGCATTCAAATGAAAAGAGACATTGTGATTTAAAATAAGTGAACTTAAAGACAGCATGTACAAAGAGAACAAAGCAGGGCCCAAAATGGATCCCTGAGGCACACCACAGGTCAAAGGGGCAGGAGACGAAGGGAAGACACCAACCACTGAAGATTTTAAAAATTGCACGAATAGTCGGCGCCAATAGCCTAGTGGTTAAGTGTGCAGACATTTAGCACCATGGTACTCATGGCGATCAGAGTTCGAATGTCTGTCCTCTACTATCCTATCTCAATAAAAAGGTAAAAACCCCTAAAAATAATTAATTATAGAAATGAATGAATAAATGCTTTTCTACACTACAACCACTTTAAAAATATGAACTCACCATTATTAACCAATATTAATATATTTAACTAAAAACAGTACAGCTGCAGGTTTAAAAAGAAGAAAGGCCAGAATAAAAGTCAAATGTGTAAGTAAAAGCAGAGTGTGCTTCTGTAGACTGAGAGATGAGATTTCACACAATCTGAAGGAGCCACTTGTGTTCACACCGCACCGGATGATGGCTGAGAGAATCTGCTCTGAACCTGAGAAAACCACACTTTCACAAGAGCATGTGGACAGGAGGAATATTCCCTCCAAAGAGACTAAGTGACAGCACGCTTTCTAGAGAATCACTGGCCAAACATACAGCCTGCAGACTATCCGCTAACTCATTCTCTCCAGAAAACCGACCACATTTGTTGCGTCTCCATGTGGGGTGTGTGTGTATTTCCCATAAGAAACTCACATAAACAAACTGCCTGACTTCAGCTCATCACTTTAGCAGCTTCTGTTACTGTACAGCAACACTTCCCAGGAACTGAACTTGACCAGTCTAAACCAAACAAAAATAATTGCACCTAAAATCCAGCATAAAATAACATGGTGGTTTGTATTTTTATTATAGCTAAAATGTTAAATCTCCACAAAATGTAAAAATGCAGCAAGAATAAATAAATAAATAAATAAATAAATATGTACTATTGAGAAAATAGTAATATTTGAGATTAAATAGGCACATAAATAAATAAAGCAGTAACTATCTATCTCTGTAATATTCCATGAAAAAGGGTAATTTTATGGTGACATTAAGATTTAAAAATAATAATAAATAATAAACTATATACTTGTTTGGGGTCAGTTTAAGAAAATTATTCTGTTTATTAAGGAGACATTTATTAAATGTAAAAGAAAATGGTTAAATATTACTTTTTGTATATATTTTTCAAATGAAAATATTACTCCAGTCATTATTGCTTTTATTACTATAACCATTAATAATAATAACAACAACAACAATAATAATATAATAATATTAGATATATTATTATAATATACAAACATAAGTGCAGGTTGCCAGATTAATGACAGGAGCGAGTGATTTAACATTAACCGTGCTGTAAATAAAAGCAACAGCACCTGATAGAAGGAATATTTTCCATTTTAAAACCAACACCTCGAATTGATATATTAGAAACGGCCTCTATTTCTCACAGGTGAACAACAGAAAACTGACAATGATCAACTCAGGTAGACCTCATGTGCTTTTTTCAGAGTTAAATGATTTATTGCCATACTACTGAAAGCAGCAGCAGACCGTTCGACAGTGAACTTTCAAACTATTCAGCATGTACAATTAATACCGTTAAAGAGGTTTAATGTGTATTAAATAGATTATAAACTTTACCATTTCATGAGTGAGTGCATATTCTGTGCTTCTGAATGGCTGTATTTAAATTCCTGTCGTGTTTCATCTGGTGCAAACAGCCAAAATGCTCAGGATCTCGTCGCGAAGCATGTTGTTAGGACACACATTTACAATGTAATCTGCTCACCTAATGTTTACATTCACAAAATGTATTTTATTTGCTAATTAATAACCTCATGTGGAACTCTTAATCTGCGTCTCATTTCAGTGTCTGCTACTGTCCACCAGAGGTTGCATTTGGGTCACGGGTGCATGCTTTCAGAGCCTTTCTGAATGAATGATTGAAATGCGTGGTTTTCCACCAAGACAACTTAGGGTGCTGAAATATAATTGGCTAAACTAGCAGGTTAAAATGACCAAAACAAAGACAGACCTTCCGGCACATAACGCACATTTTCAAAGCAGACACTTCACATTCACTTCATGTTCAATTAGCATGTCTCTTAAATATCTATACAATTATCATCATCATTGGTATTATTATCATAGTATTCAGCATTATAAAAACCAGGAGACAGGATTTTTGGAGACAGGATTTCAGGATATTTTATGTGTGTCAGAGAGGAAATTACACAGCTTCTGTTTCTAATACACTGCTATGCGGTTGCCATGCTGATGTGGGTGGTTACTTATTCGCTCGATGCCTCTAAATATTTTTCAACCAGCAGGCCAAAACTGTAAACCTCATCGCTTAGAAAAGTAACAGCACACCATTACAAAGTACGAGATTACATAAGCTCTAAAGTTCAATACTAAGTGTTTAGGGTTCATTCAAATCACTACCTACGACCAAATAAAGTATTTAACATAAATATAAAACTATGAAAACAGATTCATCAACATTAATGCCTCAAATGAAATGCAAAGACTTTACAATAAGGTTGCTTTAGTAGTTAATGGACTTACTAATATGAACAAACAATGAGCGATACATTTATTACAGCATTTATTCCTATTTGTTGACTTTAGTTAAGGGAAATAAAGCTATTTATTGTTAATTCATGTTAATCCACAGTGCATTAACTAATGTTAACAAGCATGGATTTGTATTTTAATAATGCATTATGTTAAACTATGATTAATAAATGATGTACAAGCATTGTTCACTATTAGTTTCTGTCAGTAAATACATTAACTAATGAAATCTCATTGTAAAGTGTGACCAATTAAACAAATACACATAAATACACACACACATAGTGTCTTACCCTGCATGCATTTCTGCGTCTGCATCAGCATGAAGCAGGAGAAAGAGGAGAGAACGAAAGAGAAATGAGGAGAGGTAAAGCAGTTCACAGTGGAGCGAATCCAGAGCCGCCTTTTCCTCATGACGGCGGTGATTCACTGGAATAAACTCTGCTGGAAGTGTGAATAACTGAGCAAACACTCACCTTCCAGATCACCACAGGACTCCAGGAGGGTCCACGTCAGCCGGACAGCGTTTATTAGTCTCACACTCCTGCGCAGAGACAAAGAGGAGGTCTGTTAGGGGAAAACAGTACCTGGGTAAAACCACAACCAGGAAGTGAGAATCTGATCAGCACACACAAACATGCAGGAGCCGATCAAAGGAATCGGTTTTGTTTTTTGTTTTAGTAGGTGTTAAAAAATTGACCATCAGTTATATTTTAATATTGGTGTTATATAACAGCATTTCATTTGGAACTCACATTTTTTGTAATGTTTTTCTGAGCAAAAAAAAAAAAAGCTAATATTTTTACCATGATTTATGAAACTAAGTTGTGACTGATCGGTTATGTATGGAATACTGTTTCTGGGTCCAAACCGCTACTCTTCTGAATTGAGAAAATATTCTTTTATGGCCACTTTTAAACATATCACACTTTAAAGTGAATTTTTTATGAAATCAGAGTACACATTGGTCTTTTTACGTGCTGCATCACAAACACAAAAATTATTTATAAAACAATATATTTATTATTATTTATAAACAATTTATAAAATTTTAATTACTTTCTGGCCATTGGATATTAGGCATGGATATATACAGTTGAAGTCAAAATTTTTAACCCCCTGAATTATTATCCCTGTTTATTTTTTTTCCCAATTTCTGTTTCACAGAAAGAAGATTTTTACAACATATTTCTAAACATAATAGTTTTTATAACTCTATAATTTCTAATATCCGATTTATTTTATCTTTGCCATGATGACAGTAAATAATATTTGACTAGATATTTTTTTCAAGACACTTCTATACAGCTTAAAGTGACATTTAAAGGCTTAACTAGGTTAATTAGTTAGGTTAGTGTAATTAGGCAAGTTATTGTATAATAATGGTTTGTTCTGTAGACTATCGAATAAAAACATAGCCTAAAGGGGCTAATAATTTTGACCTTAAAATGGCGTTTAAAAAATTCAAAACTGCTTTTATTGAAGCCAAAATAAAACAAATAAGACTTTTCCAGAAGAAAAAATATTATCAGACATACTGTGAAAATTTCCTTGCTCTGTTAAACATCATTTGGGAAATATTAAAAAAAAAATTATAATAATAAAAATCAAAGGGGGGCTAATAATTCTGACTTCAATTATATATATTGTGATCATGCATTTCGAAACTATTATATCGCTTTGTAAACGTTTATTCTGACCATTTGATGAGTCTACATATACAGTTTGATATAGCACTTGGACCCGGAAGCCGCTTTGCGTAACGTCACACTTAACAAGCGGATGGAGGACCAGGAGTGCCGATTAGAAATTAAATGAATGCTCTAAATATGCTCTTTTTTTAAATGATTGATATAACAGAAAATGTTGGCGGTTTTAAAACCTGGACTTTTCCAAACCGCGGTATACCTTGAAAACGGTTATAGTCCCATAAAACACACACTATCTAGTATCTATGAGTTTTTTACTGAACATAAACAATGAACAAGTTTAAAAAATGAGTTCAAGGCGACACGGTTGCTCAGTGGTTAGCACTGTCACCTCACAGCAAGAAGGTCGCTGGTTCGAGTCTCGGCTGGGTCAGTTGGCATTTCTTTGTGGAGTTTGCATGTTCTCCCAGTGTTGGCGTGGGTTTCCTCCAGGTGCTCCAGTTCTCCCCACAGAGTGTAGGTGAATTGAATAAACTAAACTGGCCGTAGTATATGTTTGAATGTGAGTGTGCATGGATGTTTCTCAGTACTGGTTTGCAGCTAAAAGGACATTAATTGTGTAAAACATGCTGGATAAGTTGGCGTTCATTCCGTTGTGGCGACCCCTGATGAATAAAGGGACTAAGCTGAAGGTAAATGAATGAATGTATCAATAAACAATGTCATGTAATTTTTCACCAGGGCATTAACTAATATTAAACAATTAACCTCTTTAAATAGATTGTGAGGAAGCAAAGCAAGCAGCATTTCCTAATAACTGCATTAATGCTCTTGTGCACTGACTAGTCATGCTCTTGACCCACTGACTAGTCATCTAGTAAGTGTGATTAGCCGTGCACAGCCTAGTGGACACAAAAGCAGCTGGTCAAGCATGACAAGTGGACACCCTCCATCTGTCACAGCTGCATTATTCATGACTGCAGTGTCCTATATTAAACAGGTATTGATCGACAGAGATAAGGTGTACCTGCCACACAAAAGAGCTGTGTTTAGATAAAGCGCAGTGAACCATAACACAATGTAAATTATAAATATTTATTTATAATAATATAATATAATATTTATTTCATTTTATAGAGTAATTTATGTGTATTTATTATTTGTCAATAATGAAGATTATGTCTATGGGAAGATTTAAATACATACTAAATATATAATACTTACATACAGTGCTCAGCATATTACACCCCTCAAAAATCTCTCTTTTAAATTAATATTTTTATAGGATGCTATACAACATTATATTTGTGCATATACATGAAATTAGTGAGTACTAAAGCCAAATCTGGAGCTCATCTAACAAAACAACTTACGATAACAATCCAAAAATTAGTGCACAAAATGTATATGTTATAGAAAAATATTAAAATAAAAAAGGAAAAATCAAGAAAAGCTAAAAAAAAAATTAAAAATTGTTGTAATTGTATTACCTTTCAATGTTTAAATATGTTTGATGAATAAAATATTATTATAATAAATATATCTATTTTTAAAAAAAATTGTTTTGGTTAAATGCACTAAAACACACTACATATGTTCACTGAAAAATGGATAAAAATATTCATAAATACATTACGCTTAAAGTCAAATAAAGACTTAAAAGCAGGGCAGTTTAGAAAAAATATGCTAAAAAGACAAAGTCACATAATTTTACTTGCATCATTAGTGACAGATGCATTCCACATTTTATAGTGCCAGACAGAAATTTATTTACAACACAGACATAAATATGAATACTAGTTTTAATTACTTGTAATTGAATTAGTATTTCATTAATTACTTTAATTTCCTTTTATAAAATACTATCATTTTGCCATTTTACAGTAAAACTGTCATGCAAAATATTTTTATAATATAATATAATATAATATTATACATAATATTTTATTTTGTATTATTATCTTTACCTTTTCTAGTAGTAGAAGACACCGACTTTACTGTACAATAACTTTACAACAACTATAATATTTATTATAAATAAATCATTAAAGGTTGGCCTAGTTGCACACATTTATTTACTGTACAATAACTTAACAATAGTCATAATAATAATAATAGTAATAATAATAATAAATATAATAAATATTAATATGGCTATAAATAAACAAAATCACTCAAATTTGGCCAAATTCCACATATTTACAGTACAATAACTAAAATAATAATAATAATAATAACAACAATAACAACAATAATATTTATTATTGTTATTTTTAAGCTATAAAAATATGACTAAAAGTTGGCCAAAATTGCACATATTTATTTACTGTACAATATATTTAAAATAATTATAATAAATATATTAGGCAGTAAATAAATAACTAAAAGTTGGTCAAATTCTACATATTTACAGTTAAGTAACTAAAATAATAATAATAACAATAGATAACAATTATTGAGAACAATAATAATATTTATATTATAATTACTGTTATTAAGCTCCAAAAAAACACACTAAAAGCTGACCAAAATTACACATATTTACTAAGTAATACCTTTAAAATAATAATAATAATAATAATAATCATCATCATTTTTATTATTATCATTATTAATATTATACCTCATTATTATTATTATTATTAGGCTATGAATAAATCAGAAAATGGGCCAAATTGTGCACATCAATACAAAAAAAAAAGAAACTTAAATGAGTTTCACACCCGCATTAAGTTATTCTGTGCATCCTAATTATGCTAATAACGCTGATCTTGCACAAGACTGTGAATACTAATAACTTCTTTTGGTGCGAGCAAAACAAACATTGCGCACAAGAGCACCAGTAGAGTGACACTCAGTCACCCTGAAGTTCAAAGGTCAGACAGAGTTCATCATCGGGTCAATGAAGACCCCCTGAAGCATTGCTCAAATGTTTTGTGTTTATGTTTCCGACACAACCACGTCCTCCATTTGACCCCAGGGTAGAGTACATGTCTTTGCATGAGCCATGAAAAAATAGATTGAGATGAAAGAACAAGGAAGAGGAAACCATACTGGGACTTCCTGCTTCGTTCTGAGCATGTGCACAAAAACTGATCTGTGCGTGATCTCAGATGCACAGAAGAGGGGAAACACACACACACACACAACTGGAACTTTGGAGAAGACAGCAGAGGATGAGAAAATGAAAATGTGGCCACTTCATAAGGCAATTCCAATAAGAAAACGATAACACAATCAAATAAAGCCAGGTGCATGCTGCTATATTTCATGGAGAATAAAGTTACTGCTTTTAAGCCTCATATTATTAAATTTAGTTGGAAAAAAATAAATAAATAAAGTTGACAAAACATTTTATTTGAATAGTTAAAAAAAACTTTCCGGTCATAATTTGCCTTAAAATAACACTAATTTATATTTTGAATAATGAACATAGCTAAAATTTGGTAGTGTGTTGGTATTTTCATGAAATGCATATTAATTTATTTCTTTTTTAAACGGAGATATTTCTGAATGTAAGAAACTGAAAATGAGGAGTTATCGTATAAAACTTAAAGCAAAGGGTAATAGCTGCAATAAAACTAGTGTTTATATATGAAAACAACTGAAACAACTAAGTGTTTTCTGTCTGAAAACAGTAAAACTGAATGATATTAAAGCAGTCAAAAGTATTTTTGGGTCATAATTCAGCCCCATTTTATGAAAATTAAATATCTTTATCTTTTAAATGCTATAAACTGAAAAACAACAGATGATTATTTATTTAAATAACTAGACAACACCTTACAACAACAAGAGAAAGTAGACATATTCTCTACGGAGAATAAAATTTGCAAGTTTTTGAACGTTTATAATGCAGTGTCTATCTGAAAAAAGCAAAAGTGACCAAACACTTTAATTTACATCTGCCAAAACCATTTCTGACCTAAAGTTCTCCTAAAAACAAATCAAATTAAGCCTATTATTGGAGAGCGTTTAGCAGTGAGTCACTATTTCCACATATTTTCATGACTAATACATATTTAATGCAATTAATTAAATTTAAAAAACTACAATATCCAAATGTCATGTTTCTATTATTTGATTTCAGTAATCTGCTTGTCATTACACAATGCAAAAATCTAATCACCAACCAAAAGATAAAACTACCGATAAGCACAAAAGTATTCAAAGTTGACAAAAATCCTCCTCGTTTTTGCAACAGACGACCGAAAGAAATTTGACTAGCATATGTTAAGTCTTTATTTGATAAGCTTACCCTTCCATCATCAACCAAAACAAACTCGAATCTTTGTTTAAACTCAAACACACACTTGTACACACCTGTCCCTGCTTGTTTGCATAAGGGTTGAAGAAAGTATCCATAATGAATAACGAACATATGCAAATTCCATATAGGCGACATTGTAAAGACAACAACAAGAACAAAGACAAGCAAAGGGAATAGAAAGAACTTTGCAGAAGTGACAACCGCAGAAATAACATCATCCAGTGTCTGAATCACTGCTGACATGCACAAAAGATGATGCTTTAAATAGAGTCTCCCACTCACTGTTTCTCCCTGATTAGTTCAATTGCATTTCACAATATTCAGAATCTGATAAAGGCACAGAGAGGGGAGGAAAAAAGGCATGATTAGATTATCTCGGCAACTCTTTCCACAGTAACCTTTGCACATAAACACTGATGGAAAATGACACACAAACCTATTTTCCAAACCTAGTTATGCATGTAAACTGCCTAACAGGCACAGGCGTTTTTATGTTTGATAAAAATTGAGAAAGTTGGTTTCAATCGGTTCACTAACAACGTGACATGCTACCTACATTGTTTAGCATGGTACTTTGAATATTCGGTGTGAAATCGCATGTAAATATGATCACATTAAAATTAGCACTATTTATTTGACAATGTTGTACTTTGATAGTCACTGGTAGCTAACGTTCATACGATTTCACAATTTAGCATTAGCAAAGAATACTTCTCTAAAATTATATAATTGAGGAGAAAGTCTGAATAAAAAAACAACTTTACCTCAATTGACATTCTCGCCAGGGTACTATTGTTTACTATGGTACTTTGAATATTCGGTTAACAGTTACAGGTAAGTAGGACTTCAAAACAACATTAGCACTGTTTATTTGACTGTGAACAATGTACTTTGATAGCCATCGACTAGGAATTGCAAAGAATACTTTTCTGAAGTCATATTATTAAGGAGAAGGTGTGAATGTGTGAATATAACACCGACTTTAACTTACCTGAATTTTCACAAGTAACGTTAACCGCCACACTATGTTTACATCTATGTGAAAGCGAAACAATGAGTTTTACAGGAGCTTAAAGGCCAAAACTGTGGCTGACATGTGACAATAAAATATCCTGGATGCTTTAATCATGAAATCATATATGACATGGTCAAAAATCAGAAAGCATAATCTCATATAAACTGAAGGTGATCAGATGCTTTGAAACAATCTGAAGCACAAACACAAACAAACCAGCCACGCGCTGATGTAACGTTACTTACTCTCGCGAGAATCCCTCGTCGGTTGAGTTCAGACAAAAAAAATACTCGTCACGAGCCCCGGGATTTACACTTCGACGCTGTTTATGTTAACACACAATACGGTAAACGCTTTAAAAACAAACTTTTACGGGAAACGAAGGTCTTGGTGTCCTGTCGGTTGCATCCGGCGGGAGGAGCGCAGCGAGCAGACGGCTTTTGTTCCGCAAGCCAGTAAGTGCGTGACGTCATACTAGGCCAGAGCGAGCTGATTGGTCATCTCAATGAGAGGACAGTGACGAAAGAGTTTTATTTTATTGAATTTTATTTATTGTGAAATATTATATAAATATATATATATATATATATATATATATATATATATATATATATATATATATATATATATATATATATATATATATTTTTTTTTTTTTTTTTTTTTTTTTTCTCTCTCTCTCTTATAGTATTTTGTAATACTCTTTTTTTTAAATCTCTTTTTTTTCCCACACTTGTTATGTTTTTGCTTCATTATAATTTCTGGTTGTGTTTTTGCAGTTCTTGTAATGTTCCTGGATATAGCATATATCTGAATTTGTATTATTACTTTATGTAATGTTTCAAAGCTTAAAATAAAAAACAATTAAAAATTGTGAAATTTGTACAAACTTAGTACACATATATACATCTCACAACAATTTAGAAAACAATTAAACAAAATAATAAAGTAACTATATTATTTAAAGTTTATTTGTGAAGCGCTTTTCACCAAAAAATGCATATTATTGCATTACAATCATATTCGGAAAAGTTAAGTTAGTTTTTATAAGGTCCCATGACTTTATTAGTTACAACAAAATTTAGCTAATTAACTAAAAACTTCAGCATTTAAAGGTATTTTATACAAACATGGGTAACCTGCAGTTACATGGACAGGATTTTACATGTTCAATGAAATATATTTGAGTATTAAGTGTACGTGTTGTCCTATATTAAGAATCAAAGTATAAACAGTTGCAAGGGTTAAAAATAAATAAACAGATAAAATAATAATAATAAAAAATTCATTATAAAAATATAATGTACATAATGCTTCATGTGTTTGTTTGTTTAGCTTAGTTTCTAATGTTACACAGTGTAGTACCATGTTGTTTAATCCCGTTTATAAAATGTTTACAATTTAGCTTAGCTTTAGCGCATTTCTTTACATAAAAAAGGGAATATATATATAATCGTAAGACCAACTGGCTATTCTTCATAAATAGTTACCGATCCTTTTCTCATTTCAGAATTGAATTAAACTCATTCCTAAAATCATTTAATCTTTTAAAGAACAAAAATTAGATTCTTGATATAAGGGTATTCAAAGGAAATCCTTGATTTTAATTTCTTTCCTTAAGTCTGTTTGTTTAATTGTCATGTAATTTCATTTCTTTCTTTAATTCTGTCTGTTTAAAATGTATTCAAGCTAAAAAAAAATTAAATAAATAACAGGCTATTTACCAATATCAATAAACAAAATGCAGGCGTTTAATATTGCTGATATTATTCAAATTCATAGAATCTTGGTTAAATCATTGGTTCATGGGTTCACGTCTTGAAAAGTGAAGCCAAAACACTTTCATTACCCTCTTGTGGCTGGACATAGAAAGTTGTAAACTCCTCCTTTTCCATGTAAATGAACGAGCCATTAAAATGCATTAATAGGGAAAGTTCACACAAAAATTAAAATGACTTTTTCCTTGATCGTGTGATTTTAAACCTCTTGTTTCTTCTGTTGAACACAAACAAAGATATTTCGAAGAATGCTGGTTGCTGGAATCCATTGACTTTCATTGTAGGAAAAAATCCTATAAGAACGAATGTGGCATCAACCACCGTTTTTCAAAATATCTTCTTTAGAGTTCAAATAAGAAACTCAAGTAGGTTTTTAACAAGTGAAATATGAGCAAATGGTTGATGTATATGTTCAACTTGTAATTTCCTTTCAGACAGCTTGCTTTTTGCAGTTATTTATCTTATTCTGCACAATATGTGTTGCACTTCACTGTCGTTTTGCACTTTAAAAACTCTTTTCACACTGAAACCAGTGATACATCGAGGCTTTTGAAGTCACAGTGTTTGTCTTTCACACCACACAGCTCTTGTATCTGCCATTTCACTTCTTCTGCACTGCAAAAAATGCTTTTCTTACTTAGATTTTGTCTCGTTTCGAGTACAAATATCTAAAAGATCTCAAATAAAAAAAGCATTTTCTACACAAGCAAAACATATCGCCTTGTTTTAAAAAATAATATGCCAAAATGAAGTAAGTTTCCTTAAATCAAGCAAAACAATCTGCCAATGGGGTAAGCAAAATAATCTTAACACAAATCGAAAAACAAGATTATTTTGATCTCAAGAATTTGTATTGCAAGTCTTTGAGTGCAAGAATTTGTAGATATTTGGACTAGAAACAAGACAAAAAATTAAAAAATGTAAGTAAGAAAAGCATTTTTGCAGTGTGTCTGCTCTAAAATAAACACTCTGAATCAGCTTGCGGAGGATGAATAAGAACATTCCAATCAATTACTCAATTCAACAGCTAAAAACAGAGACGTCTGCAAGAATCAAGTAAAATCAGAGCGATGAAGCTGATTATGATATGGAGATGGTTAGGAGGACATGATAACCTGAAGCCAGAAGGCAAATTTGCCCAGGCTGCTGGGGTTAACCCCTATTCTTTTTCGAAAGACATCCTGGGATTTTAAAACGACCACAGAGTCAGGAGTTTAGTTTAAAGTCTCATCGAAAAGATGGCGCTCACTGAGCAGTATACGATTATTTTACACTGTCGCCATTTTAAAGAACGAAAGCAAGGCTGCGGTGGGAATAATAAAGGACGAGCTCTGTAAACACTGCAACAACATGCTGTGGACTACAAACCTCCAGCTGTTGCTGTGATTTTCAAAATGCAGAAATGGTGTAAACATCACTTTAATATAATTCAGTTCAGTTTAATTTAAACAATTAAAAGCAGAGGAATCAAACAAAATCCCAATCTCTTTATGAGTAATACGCCCATGTGAGAGTGGCAGAGAGCTACTGTAGCTGCCAGTTGTGGCTTCACCACATCACATTGTTTTACTACATCACAAAACACCTCTGGTATCCAGTAAGAAAGGCTTGTTGTGTTTTAGCTCATAGTCTGGCAGAAATAACAGGGTTGTCATGTTAAACCAAGCAGCTGGAAAACTGATTGGCTTCTTCTTCGTTTTGAAATAGAGACAATTGCAGGATTTTTTTTTTAGATTAATACCTGGGGATACTTACTCATCCCGAGATCATCAGACTACGCAGCGCCACTGATTCGATCCAAGACCAGCAACGAGTTGATCCCAAGGTTTCCATATCCTGGACCAGGCTGTATCCTGAACAGCTGCTGTGGTGGTCATGGAGGAGTGGAGAGCATGAGACTGAGTCCTGTGACGCTCCAGAGACTGACGAGTCTTCGCTGAGGTCCAGCTTCCTGCCTCCGGCGCCTAGACTGCAGCTCTGCACAAGACGTTTGGCCAGCGGAGAAATGGTCGTGTTAAGCTTGCTTTCTCTCGAGGTTTTTTAATTCTTCAATTTCCCCAATTGGTGAAGTTTTTACCTCGCCGCTGTCGCCACTGGCTTGCATGGTTCGGGATCTGTAGAGCTGCGCATCAATGGATTTGCTCTTCAGTGTTTGGGCTCTCAGTAATGGTTATTAAACCACACTGAACTGAGCTAAACTGAACTTAAACTCTGAAAACTGAACTACACTGTTCCTATTTACTATGATCTTTTATGTGAAGCTGCTTCAACACAACCAACATTGTAAAAGCGCTATACAAATAAAGGTAAATTGAATTTAATTAATACAATAAACACCATAGTTGACAAACACAGTATTCTTTTACTACTTTTTTATTTTATTTGTTTTGTTATCAGAGCATGAAGACAACCATTTCTGCTAAAAGAACTAAATAACTACAAATATAAGTCAGAAACTCAAAATGAATAATCAGAATCATGAATTAAATGACTAATTATTGTATTTTGTTTCACAATAACACTTGGAATAAACTATTTCAGAGATTCAACACTTTCCCAGTACTGGGTTGTGGTTGGAAGGGAACTAAGCTGGATTAATTGCTGGTTCATTCCACTGTGGCAACCCCAGATAAATGACTTAGCCAAAGAAAAATAAATGAATGAGATTCAGCACTTTTCCTGCCTCCAAACATAATGGAAAATGCATCCATTTCACATCAGCCATACTACTACTAACAACACATTCACCTAATCTAAATCTGGCATCATTTTATAGGTGCTGGATCTGAAGAAAACACTGTGGTGTTTCGCTGAATAATGCTTACTAATGTTGCCATAAACCTTGGTAGCACTCCATTTTACAGTCCTGTTACTCATGTACATACTACCTACTTATAATCATTACATAAATTGGGTAAGAACTACTACACTTAAAACTACCCTTGAACCCAAACCTAGTACATATTAAGCACACATATTATAAAATAAATGTGCTACCTACAACTCGTTAATATAATGGACTTTTCTCATCTTTACAATTCATTCAAGTCAATAAAGTCACAGATGGACAGTTTGTTTCAAAGGAGCTTTTAAATTACTGATATGGACAATAAAATGTGTTTGTCCTATTAGGATTGGGTCGATGGCCAATAGACATCACAATGCTGAGCCGGCATCTCAATCCTCCCCCCACCCCATCGCAGCATTAACATGCTCGCGAAAAATACCCACTTAGGTCCCGTTTTACACTAATAGTCTTAGTTTTAGAATGGCATTTAAGAACAAAAATGATCCACGTCCACACTGGCGTTTCTGAAAAGATCTCCCTCTATACTGCTGAATATGCACATCACGTGACCATACACACACACACACACACGCACACACACGCACACACACGCACACACACACACACACACACACACACACACACGTGCGCTGCAGCATATGCGGACGTCTGAGCTCCAAGTAGTCAGCGGGTGCTTTGAGCACAAAACCCAAGAGAGCAGTGTATGTCGGACAGTTTATCAAGGATGTACCGCTGGATTGCGTCTCACTTAAGTTATTAAACGTGATCTTTAATCAATCTTGTCTCTATCTAACGAATCAATCAGGTTACGTGTCACAGCGTCAGTACACTGCTTCAATCTTTCGCTTTTACGCTTGTACTTAGTAATTTTAGCAATAAACCTCATATACTGATGGCTGGTTCCTGCACCTTTTTTTACCAACCAAGTTTGTCAATACCATTATAACGACAAAGATCACTCTGCCTATTCATGCCAGAGTTCCGCGGAAAAAGTGATTGACAGGTGGTATATTTTGTGTAACTCATCTTTATCTCTTTATGATTTGGTTATAAGTAAGGGTCAAGTAGTTGAAATGGTAGGCTACAAATAATTAATCAGTTGTGAGTTAACTAATTATTCATAAATAATTAATTCACCGCCTCCTACAATGACGAAGATATAGTCCAAAGCGATGTTTCACATAAGACATCATACGATGCCAAATTGTTCGACATCGCCCAACCTTATATCCTATATGTGAATGCTTTCAAATTTTTCCATGTCAGATTTACAGTTTCGTTTTGTCCTTGTATTTATGCACTGTTCTGGAAAAACAACACAATAAAGAACCTGAAAACTGTCGGCGCCAGTAGCCTAGTGGTACTGCGCACTGATATATAGCACCAACATGCTCACGGCGACCCGAGTTCGATTCCAGACTCGAGGTCCTTTGCCGATCCTTCCTCTCTCTCTGCTCCCAATGCTTTCCTGTCTGAATTCTCTACTGTCCTGTCATAATAAAGGTGAAAAAACCCTAAAAAGTAATTATAAAAAATAAAAAAATAAAGAACCTGAAAACTATTTGAAACTTGTTAATAGGATCAGCGTATCATAGACTTTTGCATCATACGGTCATTCTGAAAATGTAGCCCTATATATATTTTTGGAGACCACAAATTATGTAGCCAGGGGAATGCATGTCTGCACTATTTTTAAAACAAACGCTACGGGGCGCTAAGACGCTGTTCCACTTCATGCTCAACAGCTGACCGTTTACCTCCATATCGATAGCTTTCCCACTGTTACCAGTTTGTCCAGTGGCTTAAATTGTTGCAAGATCAGATACGTTCGCGGCCAGAAGTCAACAAGAATTATTTATATTATTCATTAAAATTCCTGTTTAATGTATTTTAATAACGTCTACCCCACCACAACCCTAAACCCAAGCATCACAGTAATGTAAATCAGTAGTTGTCCAAGTATTATTCATACTATCTATTAAATTACCCAATTAATTGTATTGTTTAATGTCTACCCCCACCCCAACCCAAAACCCAACCGTCCCAGAACTGTTAAAATATAACTTATTGTTATACAGTGTCATAAAAATGCTGCTATATTGATGTGCATAGCGCACTTCTGGCCGGCTGCGTATCCAATCTAGACTTTACTAGTTGCTCGCCGCAGATGTGGGAGGATTTGAGTTGACTGGGATGATGGGGTTCAAGTTTGGTGAGGAACGATTCCAGACAACAGGTAAGACATAATTAGAAGCCACAAAATACAAAATAAACTAGTATGGATGTCCAGATCTGATCAAGTGATCGGAAATCATGCCCGATCGCGCAGTTTAAGACTTGATCGGAATCGGATGTTACCTCTTGAACAGGACACAAACAAATATGCATATATTAGTGGTGGGCTGTTATCGGCGTTACTGTGCTGCGTTAACGCAAGACTCTTATCGCACGATAAAAAAAATATCACCGTTAATCTATTCTCAAAGTTGGGTTGGGAGCTGGGTCTATTCTATGCAAGCTATGATGACTTTCACCTTTATACTTCAGCGCGGATGTATACCTGACCAGTGAGCCATCTGACAAAAAAGTGGCCTTCTGAACCAAATCAGCAGGACGCCCTTTTTCTAATTAATCAATGGCATGTCATCAATTACTCCTTAGTTATTGTAACACTGCACTAACTATGAATAGACAACAGGGGTGTAACAATACACTTACGTCAGGATTTGATACATATTGCAATACTAAACTCATGATACGATATCATCTCGATACTGCATGCTAAACTAAAAAAAGTTCAATATTAGGATTATTACTGTTTTTCTCAGTGATGGGTTGCAGCTGGAAGGGCATCCGCTGCGTTAAACACATGCTGGATAAGTTTCCATTCCGATGTGGCAACCCCGGAAAAGAAATGAATGAATGAATGAATAATAATAATAATTCACAGGAGGACGAATTGTAAGTGACCACAAAATGATTATATCACTTTAAATATGTTCAGAGCATATCACATGTTTCGGTAGTCCAGGTAACAAATAGGTTAATCAGGCTAGCAGAGCGAAGAGGATACCCGTTTCTGTGCAGTTCATGGAGAGAAGTAGCGATTTATGGAGAAAGGAGGCTTAATCCTGCTCAATTTATAATATAGAACCCTTTGGTAAAGCGGAGCGAGGCATGTGAAGTTAATTGTTTAAGCCACATGAGTTTGTTTGTATGTTTATGTTAATCGTGAGCTCTGCCTTTTTTTTTAGTTGTTTCAAACTGTCTTCATATACTTCATTGTTTCATTTTCATATATCGCTCTGTACATTGTATCTTTATTTGTCATATTTTTTTTTGTAGTTTTTTTAATAGATTTTTGTTGTTTCTTTGTGTAGTTTCACGGTGATACGCAACGAAAGTTAAATAGCTCTCGTCTTGAGCATAATAAAGAATCAAGCACCCGTCAGAAACTCTCTGTCTCATTCATGGAAGCCAAAGGGCAGCTACACGAATAATTCTGACTTCAACTGTACTGCATGTTGCATATACTATTATCGATTTAACTATAATTTTACGATATATTGTGCAGCCCTTATACAAACTTCCCATCACTATCATTCACAAATTTTATTTTGCGATTTCTCCATATCACAAAGTATTGTTACACCCCTAATTACACTTGAAAGTTAGCTAACTGTATGAACAGGAGGACTTTGCTCCGGCTGATCGTGTTTTCTCCTATGAATGGCTAACGAGTTTGAATGTCGAAAACTCTCTCCGCAGTCAGCACAGCGGTACGGCATCTCGCCAGTGTGAAGTCGCATGTGTATTTTCAGATGCGCCGACACCGAAAAACTCTTCTCGCAATACGAGCACTGGTACGGTCTCTTTCCAGAATGAACGACTCTGTGTCGTTTCAACTGACCATTAGTGACGAAGCTTTTCCCGCAATCATCGCACACTTTATCCTTCTCACCTGTGTGTATTTTTTCGTGCAACGTACAACTGACCAGCAGCGAAAACCCCCTGCCACAGACGGAGCACACGTGCGGTTTCTCATTGGTATGGACTCTCAGGTGGTACCGCATATTTGACACCGAATTAAACCCTTTCCCGCAGTGTTCACACACATACTGCTTTTCCCCGGAGTGAACGCGCATGTGATTTTTAAGACCCGTCAGATCTTTATAACTCCTTCCGCACTCAGTACACCGATGCGGCTTTTCTCCGGTGTGAATCCGCTCGTGAGACTTCCTGTTTCCGGCCTGGGTGAAACTCCGGTCACAGTAGGAGCACTTGAACGGTTTTAATCCAGAATGAATGATCTGATGCTGTTTGAGCTGGCTGAACGTGGTAAAGCTCTTCCCGCACTCGGTGCACACGTGATCTCGCACTTTATCGTGCGTTTTCTGATGTTGTTTGCAGCTGTCCAAGCGGGAGAAGCTCCGTCCGCAGACCGAGCAGGAGTAAGGCCTCTCGCTGAAGTGAACAACCTGGTGAATTTTCAGGCCTGAAAGGGTGCTGTATGTCTTCTCACACTGATCACAGTGGAAAGGCTTTTCTCCAGTGTGACTGAGCAGGTGAATTCTGAGAGAGGATATATGCTTATAATTCTTTCCACACTGTGAGCAGGTGTGCAGCGTTTTGGATGTTTTTGGAGTTTTCTTTGATTTATAATATTCATCTTCATCTTCATCTTCATCATCATCATCATCATCATCATCATCATCATCTTCATCTTCATCCTCATCCTCTTCATCGTCTTCATCTTCATTTAATTCTTGATCTAAAATAAAGAACAGTCAGTTATGGCTTGTTTAAACTGAATGGTACGGTTCGGTACGTTTTATGGCAGTGGGAGACTAAAGCAGGTCGGCGGCGCACCGCACAACGCCATGCAGCGCCATGCATTTTAGAATTCTAAACATAGGTTTCTATCAGGATACACACACCTGCGCGGCAAGTCGGCGGCTGTCGGTAGCACCCGGCCACGACTCAGGACGCAGTTAATTTTTCAGCCACGCCACAGAGCACCTTCTGATTAGTTTCATGTTAAATATCATGCGAATGTATGGTGTGCGATACTTTAAACTGTCATGTGCGCGTCGTGTCGCGGCGCTTCTGGTGTGTGACCTGCTTTAGGCATAACGCATGCCTCCCACCAGTGCCGATACAGCCACATCGCACTGCTATTCTTGTGATATTGCTTATGTATACAATTATACATCGATTTGCCTTAACTGTCATACTCCTAAAGTTTTTGTCATCATTCCTTCCCTCTTTAATTGTCACACATTTGCAAGTGGTGCTCGCTGCAGAGCCATTTGAGGAGAGGTGAGCTCCAGCGAGGGGGAGCTTAAGCTTGAGCTCCACCTTTTTTGCACTTCTTCTACGAGTGATGTCACTGGGGGTATGGTTAGGGGTGGGGTTGGTGTTAGCATTAAAACAGCTTACAGGAGGAGGAGCGACAGCTCATGCTCCCCCTCGCTGGAGCTCAGCTCTCCTCAAATGGCTCTGCAGCGAGCACCCTCTCCACATTTGTTTGAGTTTGTTTCTTCTGTTGAACACAAAAATAAATATTTTGAAAACCAGTAACTATTGACTTCCATAGTATTAGATTTTTCATATTATGGATGTTTGTGGTAGCCAGTTTACAACATTCTTCTAAATATCTTCTTTTGTGTTCAACAGAAAAAAAAACATAATAAGGACGAGTAAAAAGAGAATATATATATATATATATATATATATATATATATATATATATATGTGTTTTTTTTTAATTTGTAGATGAACTATCCGCTGCTAATATGACTATCCAGATGCATTTACTCTCTCATTTGTATTCTCATACTGCTTACGTCACATGAAATCTTGAAAGCTTTTTTATCTATGATGTTATTTTATTAAGATTTTTATTATATATATATATATATATATATATATATATATATATATATATATATATATAATTGTATTATTTTATTCAGAGAGAAAGAAAATGTGAGCAAATTGTGTTCTACCACCACATTGGAGCAGTTGATGTCTAATGATTCTATGTATCTGATGCTGTGGCTCTCTGACTAATGTATTTCAATAAAAAACAGAGTTAAACTAATTATGAAGAATAAAGAACAGACACCAACCTGCTTGTTCCTCGATATCTTCTTCATCACTCACTGTGGATTGTTCTAGCTCACTCAGGTCGATCTCCACTTCAAAAAACTCCATCTTCAGCAGTCTCTCTCACACAAAGCGTTTACTCGCAGACTTTGTCTCTTTCGCAGGATACTCCCAACCTTTATTGATGAACTGTTAGCAGAGGGACATCAGTTCTGCCAAATTCAAAGAGAAGTTAATAGATTTATACAAAACTAATACTTCTACTAATACCAGGGTTCCCACTCTAAATTTAAAGACTTTTTAAAAGTCACCAATAAGGTGCTCGATTTGAATTTTAACCCCCAGCATACATGGCACCATGAAAGTCCTTCCTGTACTTAAGATTTTGCTTACACTTAATGTTTTGAATATGTTATTTAAACAGTCATGCTCACAGAGTTTTAATACAATTAGTTGAATTCTATACTGGCAAAATTCAAATGTGGTTTCTGAAACACTGATAAAATGATTGAGGTAAAGTTAGTTTTATATTTGCATATTGGATGGTTAGGAGGCCATGATGGACAAAGGCCAGTGGGCAGATTTGGCCAGGATGCCGGGGTTAAACCCCTACTCTTTTCGAAGGACATCCTGGGATTTTTAACAACCACAGAGAGTCAGGACCTCGGTTTAACGTCTCATCCGAAAGATGGCGCTCACTGAGGAGTATAGCGTCCCCGTCACTATACTAGGGCATTAGGACCCACACAGACCGCAGGTTGGGCGCCCCCTGCTGGCCTCACTAACACCACTTCCGGCAGCAACCTAGCTTTCCCATGTGGTCTCCCATCCAGGTACTGACCGGGGGCAGCCCTGCTTAGCTTCAGTGGGCGACCATGTGAGAGTTGCAGAGAGCTAGCTGCCGGTTTACCATGCTACTTTTTAATATTCAGTCTGAATACGCATGCAAGTATGACTTCAAATTGACATTAGCAATATTTAATTGACTGCGAACAATGTTGTTTTTTAGTAGTCACTGGCTGCTAATATGTATTCACTATTTAGAAATGGTAAAAAATACTTTTTCTGAATTTATATTATTAAGCAGGAAGTCAGAATTTGCAAATGTAAAACCAACTTTACCCAAATGATTTTTAAATTAAGTATTATTTCGTTTTTCTAATCAGTTTTTAAAAGCATCACAGTGCAATTGTTGAAATAACACCATAAATGTTCAATTCAAGCACTTTCAAGGGCCCAGGTTTGTTTTTCAGTACATTCCAGGCCTTGAATTCATGTCTGAAATTCACATTGAGGTAAAGTTGGCTTCATATTCACACAATCAGACATTCTTCTTAATAATATAATTTCAGAAAAGTATTCTTCGCAATTTCTACGTAGTGAAATCATATTATCAGCCAATGACTATCAAAGTACAACATTGTTCACAGTCAAAATAATAAAGCTAATGTTGTTTTGAGGTCGTACTTAAATGTTAGACCGAATATTCAAAGTGTCTTGGTAAACATTATAGGGACCATGCCCAGGGGCGTTGCGAGGGGGGGGCTTTGGGGGCTTAAGCCCCTGATGTATTGTCAAAAGCCCCTGATCTCTTGGAATATATTGCACTTAAATAAAAATATGTTGTATAACATTTATTTTGTTATCTAAGTACTGAAAATGACCACATACATCACGAACATTCCACTTAACGCAGCGTTTGTGTTAGGTAATTAAATCGTCAGCTGTTCAGCAGTACCTGTTTCTACCGGCAGGTGGGAGTGGCTCTGTTGTCACATGGTGTTAAAAAAATCCCGCCACTGCACTTCATTCATTCATTATTTTGAGGAGCTGAAGCTAATGAGGTAATAATACAACTCTTTCGCGAAACTGACTAGTTTTAACTACTGATGAAGCTTGTTTCCACAGTATAAAATATGTGTAGTTTTGGTGACATAAAATAACTATAATCAGTAAAATGTGCATCATATCAATGTAAATACATGCGAGTAAGTACAAAAAAAAAACGTAAATTGTTCTAGCTTTCTAGATATAATATATATATGAGATAGCAAGTCACATTTGTTTCTGTAATAGTTAAATCACACTGAGTTTATTCATCTAGCTTATTGTTATATAGCTATATTCTAGTGTAACATGCTATGTCAATTTGCATCAAATTATAAATCGACTTTCTTATGAAAATACATAAAATGGTTGGAAGAGCACATACAGTTGAAGTCTGAATTATTAGCCCCCGTTTATTTTTTCCCCCAAATTCTGTTTAACGGAGAGAAATTTGTTTTCAGCACATTTCTAATCATAATAGTTTTAATAACTCAACTCTAATAACTGATTTATTTTATCTTTGCCATGATGACAGTCATATTTGACAAGACATTTTTAAAAACACTTCTATACAGCTTAAAGTGACATTTAAAGGCTTTAAAGGCAGGTTAGGGTAATTAGGCAAGTTATTGTATAACGATGGTTTGTTCTGTAGACTATCGAAAAAAATATAGCTTAAAAGGGCTAATAATTTTGACCCTAAAATGTTTTTTTTTTAATGTAAAACTGCTTTTATTCTAGCTGAAATAAATCAAATAAGACTTTCTTCAAAAGGAAAATATTATCAGACATAGGCTACAGTGAAAATTTCCTTGCTCTGTTAAACATAATTTGGGAAATATTTAAAAAAGAAAATAAAATTCAAAGGAGGGCTAATAATTCAACTGTATAAAACATTTATTGTTGCAGTCGTGTAAATGATCAGTTAAAGCCTTTTTATTTTTATTCAGATCTTATTTTCATTCTACTACAGCAACAGCTGGATGCCTTCATCCATATTAGGGATTTCCTAGAATGTTCTACTTTTGTGAGGCATATATGGAATTTCTGCTCAAGTATGATTAAAACAGGCATTACATGCATTTAAAGTGCTACAATGCCCACATCACCCTATTTTGAAGAAAACTGAAAAAAATTCCCTGAAGAAATTTAAAGTAAACATATTTCTAGCATATAGATCTTTATTTTATTTTTTTGTAGCCTACTACTTTTGATAGAATTGTTATTATATATAAAAAATAGTAGCCTATTGAATATCAATATTTTGCAAGGTATTGAATTTAGAAATTCCATTATCTTGACAACACTACACCTCAGTTAATCACTCTGTCCAAATTAACATGTTTGTAGCTTTGTATCACATTGGATAACAACTCACACTATTAAATAAATCATATTTTCAGATTTGAAGACATGCAGAAAATTACATTTTCAAAAAACAAACAGAAAGTTCAAATCAGGAGGAGATAGGAGGCTCAAGAGGATTGATATGGCTCATAACAGACTATTAAATGAGAAGTGGGTTAATTTATCAATGTTTTTTCCTATTTGGATTTTACAAGTACCCTTTATTTATTATTAACCATTTTTAATCCTGTTAATAAGGGGGGGGGGGGGGGGGGGGGCAATTTCTTTGGGGCTAAGCCCCTTATCCCTTTCGACCCTAGCAACGCCCCTGACCATGCCACAATTTTGATCAAATGTGTGAATATAAAACCAGCTTCACTTCAATGAAACTGAAGCATGGTAACCCTGTAATACTTTAGTATAATTTAACTCAAGTTTTCAGATGAAAATATTGAATATTTATAGACGATTAAACATTTGGGGCATAAACACGGCACATGTTACTTTCTTCAGTCAACAAAGAAACATAACAAACGCAGACCTACATTACATTAGACACATTCTAAAATGCTTAACGTGAAAAAGCTTAACGTGGCTTAATGTACCTTAACATCAACAAGAGAAACCTAAATTTCTGTCAAATTTGACTTGTAATTAACCCTACTGTAAGAACAATGAGTCCCAATTACATGGATAAAGTAAAAAAAACAGCACGTTAAGTGTTTCCCCCCCTTTAAAAGCTATTATAAGGAAAAAGTTTAACATGACCTATTGCACCTTAACAACAAGCGGAGGGAAACTAATTTCTATCAAATTTTACTTGAACACTAATTACTATCAAAAGAATAAGCTTGACAACCCAGTGGTTGGAGTAGGTATTGCACTCCTGGATCAAAACAGGCAAGTGCAAGTTGCCAGATTGAGGACAGGAGCGAGTGATTTAAACAGTGTTATAAATAAAAGCAATGGCACCCGATAGAAAGAATATTTCCATATTAAAGGGAGTTTTTGTCCTAACCAACATTTTGAATTGATATACTGGACACAGCTCACAGATATACTTTCTCACAGTCAAACAACAGAAAACAGACAATGATTATCCCAGGTAAACCTCATGTGCTTTATTCAGTGTTAAATGCTAATATTGTGAGCTAGAATGCCATTTTACATGACATTTACTGTCATATACTGAAAGCAGCAGCAGATAGTTCACCTCAGATCTAGAAAATAAAATAAACCGTTTGAAATTGAACTTTAGACTGACTCAGTGCAAACCAACACATATCAGTGACTCAGCATCTACATTTAAAGGGCCATGAAACCCCCTCGTTTCAGCAGGGTGTTTTCACACCTGTACTTTGGAAAAAGTCAGAAAAGTGGGCGTGTCCAGCTCTGTTTAGGGGGGAGTGTCGGAGGAACTAAAGTGGGATGGTGTGGGAGTGTCTATTTGGGCACGCGCGAGTTTCAGAGTCAAAACACACACACAGGAGAAAGTGATGGTGTTTAACCTACATGGACATCTGTAGTCGAATTATTTGCCAAAATATTAAATGGTGGACTTTAACTGCAGTTTGGCTCTTTCATTCAGGGAATTCATTCATGTCCCTCGCGACAAACGAGATATTTGATTCGAGGATCTGCTCTAAGCGTGTATTTTTCATGCAATGTTTGATACCGCACGGCGAATGAGAGAAAAAAAAAACTCTGCATTTCCCGGAAACTTAGATGCACACGGCAGGTAGCGTCAAAAAGCCGCGTGTGTTATTCCGGTCACAAAAAGCGGTGCTATGTTTGCACTCAGTGCAATAGTTAACTTAATTCGATACGAACAAACTGAATAAACAAAGAGCGCTGGTCGCTCACTTACCAAATCTGTAGAGACAGAACAATCACCAGCAACTAGAGCCGCGTCTTTATGAAGAGAAGACTAACGTTACAAGCGAATCCGGATTTCAGCGTTTGCAGATGAGAACAGCTCTCAGGTAAACAATAATCCTCCTTAGACACGTAAGTTATTGTTGTCGAGCGTCGCGTACACTGTTAATCCACACGTGATCCAGATAAGCTCTCAAAGAGAGAAAATGAAAACGAAAGTTAATGGCAGCAAACTATAAAAGCAACACTTCACGCTTGTTTTGCCAACACAACGTGGCGTCTCTGTGGCGTAAACAAGGTGACACTAATGAATATTAATGAAGTTGCACAATAGAGCGCGCTGATTGGTTTGAACCAAGCCTTACTCATGCATTAATGCAACACACTGTAAGACGTAATAAGACACACTCTGGCACAGACGCCCAGTCTGCACACTGGAATACACGCTATTATGTCATGACCGTGACGCAGCTTCAAAAATTCGTTTCAAACAGGAAGTACGAATTTGCTTGAAATAACGCAAAAACAACCAATTTACACTTTTTAGTGAAATATAGGTGTCCTAATAGTGTTTTTAGCAGTGTGGGACACATATACGACTGTCAACAGCTCAAAAAATGTGTTTTGGTGTTTCGTGACCCTTTAATAATGTTAAAGAGGTTTAATATGTATTAAATAGATTATAAACCTTACCATTTTGTGGGTGAGTGCATATTCTGTGCTTCTGAATGGCTGTAATTAAATTTCTGTGCTGTGGTGTTTTCGTCAGCCAAATTGCTTATCACCGCGTAGCTCGTCACGTTGTGTGTTGTTAGGATACGGGTTAAAATGTAACCTGCTCACCTAACGTTTACAGTCGTAATATTTAAATCATTTGCTAATTAATAACCACCTCATGTGGAAATGAATCGGTCTCATTTCGGAGTCTGCTACTGTGCACCAGAGGTCGCATTTCGGTCACGGACGGATGCTTTTAGAGCCTTTCAGAATAAGTAAATGAAATATGCTGTTTTCCACGAAGGCAACCCAGGGTGCCGATATATAATTGGCCGGGTAAAATTATCAAAACAAAGACAGACGCTCTGGTGTAGCAGTCGATTCCGTTCCCTTCTGGAATTTCAGTTTCTTGTTTACGAAGCGTGTCCGCTAACAGTGTATGCAGATGAACCCAAACACAACTGGATGTACGGAAAGCGAAAAAGAACAAGAGTGTTGGCTAGCTTTCATGTCTTGCAATGTCAAAGTAGCGTAATAAAATACATTTTACACTCCCACATATTTTCTACGTATTTTCTGTGGTTCTTGTTTGTATTCTCAGCTTTTTTCCTAATGTCTGAGTTTATGCACCCTAGTTTAATATTGCGCACAGGCCTACCTACAGTTATAGTCCTTTTTATTTTCAAGTTCGAAAAAAATACGTACTTTTAGAACCACTTTGCTTTCCGTACATCCACTTGTGTTTAGGTGTGTCGGCATACGATGTTAGGGGACACACTTCGTAAAGGGGGAACTGGGATTCCACAAGGGAACAGAATCGACACAGAAAACACATTTTCAAAGCAGAATATCTGACTTCAGCATTGTTTTTCAGATAAACAAGTATGTTCACTTGGCATGTTTCTTAAATATCTGCAAACATATTATGGCATTTGTATAATTTAGAAGAGTCCAAAACTTAAATAAAGCAACTTTAAGCGTTTTCCCAATGTTATTGTGGGGTGTCAATGCCGTGCACAATCAAATCCTTTGACAGCAAGGGTTAATCTATCACAAATAAAATTTGATTTTATGGACAGCCTTTTTAAAGTTTGGTTTCCCTCGGCTGTTGTTATATTGAGCCTTTCCTTGTTATGGACTTCAATAGGGGAACCAAGTTAAGCCTTTTCATTTTATAATGTACTTCAATAGGGAACAACACATAACGTGACAATTTTCACTCACTAAAATGAGAGCTCATTCTTTTGACATCAGAAAGTGTTTGTCATGAGTAAAATGTGATAATAATGTGGTTTCCCCAGGCTGTTAAGTATTTATAATAGACTTAAATGGGGGAGAAAATACCTAACGTGCTGTTTTTCACTTTATCTATGTAATTGGGACTCATTGTTTTTACAATAGAGTTAATAACAAGTAAAGTTTGACAGAAATGTGGGTTTCTTTTGTTGATGTTTAGACACATAAAGCAACGTTAAGCGCTTTAGAAAGCCCGTTGCATCGCATTGTTTACATTCAGCCGACACTTTTCATTAAAGGGACTCTACAAATGAACAATTGTACATTCATTTGAAAACCACAAATGAGTAAGAGTAGTTGCAAAAAGCCATTCACCGATTTATTTTAGACTTGATCTAATTTAAAGCTCAACTCTTACAGTTTGCAGCCCGAACACAACAACACAAACATCAACTCTTGCATTGAAATAACATTAAAATACGAAAGGATATCCTAATGAAACAGAAGTGCACACTCACTCATAGGCTGTGAAGATCTCTCTGCCGGTATGTTTTACTATAATCAATAAAAAACGGGACACAAATATGCGTTTTTATTACTTCAGCGCTTGCTTCTTCTCTAGCGCTACACTAATCCGCGCACGCGCGTCTTCCTCTTCTTCACTATTGAAAGCGTTATTAGCGGTTGTATTCATCTTCTAGGCGCATTAACGCCACCTTTTGGTTAGGAGCGTAGGCTATGATGAAGTAAAATATTTGTAAAAAATATCAAATAAACACATTTGTATTTTACTTTCTATTGATTTATTTTTCTATCTCACTTTGCTATATTCATGTTATCAATTCATCTCTGACAACCGGTAATGGTTATTGACGTCCATAAATAAATTCATATTTATTTGCTTCAAAATGTGTTTTGCCAGTTTTTAACTGGCTCATTTGCCAGTTTTATAGTAACTATGATATTCAAATGAGGTGTAAACAACTATAAAAATATATAATTCAATAATCACGTCAAAGTGATTAAGGAAAAAATGGTTTAAATGTAATGAAACGCTGTGTAATATTTATACAAAGATTAACTTACAGTATTCTATAATATTGCTAACATACATCAGGTTTATGTGTGCATTTACACATTTAAAAAAAGAAACATTGCTTTATTACTAAACAAAATGAATATATAAACATATAAAGAAAAAAGGGCTGACATTTGGCCTATTCACATTATTAAAGATATATATCAAAGTGAAATACCAAAATTTCAAGACAATGTATGTTTACTGCAGTTGTGTTGTAGAGTTCACCGACTGGATGTTATATACTGTCTGTATGTGTACACAAAAGACATGCAGGATGTAGTGGTTTGAAGTTTGTAATGCAGCCAATCAACTCACTTGCACAATTCAACAGTCCCTGAAAACACACACACACACACACACACACACACACACACACACACACACACACACACACACACACGCACACACACACACACACACACACACACACACACACACACACACACACAAAAACATGGAACTGGTCAGATGATGGCAATTAAGGCGTATTTTCTTCTTCGTGTCGGCTTAGTAAAGGCTTAGTGCCTTTATTATCCGGGGTCGCCACAGTGGAATGAACCGGCAATTTTTCCAGCCAGTTTTTACACAGCGGATGCCCTTCCAGTAAGGCGTATTTGTGTTCAATATAATTCAATAACTGTGATCACTACACTCTAAAACAATATGAAACAATATAATAGAGGTTCTTTGGCTCATACTGATATATAACATCTTTATCACCCTCCCAACCCCAACAACAACAAAAAAAAAACTCTAAAGAACCATTGCACTGGTTCTAAATAGCGCTTACTATTTCTATGAACCATTGAAGAAACTTGCATGTGCATTGTATTGCTGTGACTGAGCTACCGTACAACCCTTTTCAAAGCTAGAGGTTTCCTTGATAATCTTTTATTGCAGTTGGCTTTAATTTTGGGTGGCACGGTGGCTTAGTGGTTAGCACTGTCGTCTCACAGAAAGAAGGTCGATGGTTTGAATCCCGGCTGGGTCAGTTGGCGCTTCTGTGGTGCTCCAGTTTCCCCCACAATCCAAACACATGCGCTATAGGGGAATTGAATAAACTAAATTGGCCATACCGTATGAGTGTGTGCTTGAATGTAAGAATGTATGGGTGTTTTCCAGTACTGGGTTGCGGCTGGAAGGGCATACACTGCTTAAAACATATGCTGTAAACTTAAAATATAAGTTGGCGGGTCATTCAGCTGTGGCGAGTCCTAATAAATAAGGGACTAAGCTGAAGTAAAGTGAATGAATGAATGGCTATAATTTGCAAGATGGTCGCTGGTTCGAGTCCTGGCTGCAAGAGTGCTGCTAAAGGGGGGAGTTAGGATGATTCTAAGGGCCCACGCATTTTAATAATAATAATTCCTTACATTTATATAGCGCTTTTCTGGGCACTCAAAGCGCTTTACACAGTGGGTGGAATCTCCTCATCCACCACCAGTGTGCAGCATCCACCTGGATGACGCGACGGCAGCCATTTTGCGCCAGACCGCACACCACACACCAGCTGATTGGTGGAGAGGAGACAGTGATGCAGCCAATTGAATATGAGGATGGTTAGGAGGCCATGATGGACAAAGGCCAGTGGGCAGATTTGGCCAGGATGCCGGGATTAAACCCCTACTCTTTTCGAAGAACATCCTGGGATTTTTAACGACCACAGAGAGTCGGGACCTCGGTTTAACGTCTCATCCGAAAGACGTTGCTCACTGAGCAGTATAGCGTCCCCATCACTCTATTGGGGCATTAGGACCCACACAGACCGCAGGTTGGGCGCCCCCTGCTGGCCTCACTAACACCACTTCCGGCAGCAACCTAGCTTTCCCATGTGGTCTCCCATCCAGGTACTGACCGGGCGCAGCCCTGCTTAGCTTCAGTGGGCGACCATGTGAGAGTTGCAGAGAGCTAGCTGCCGGCGCCCCGAGAGATATTATTAGGGGCCCACGACCCCTAATAATGTGTATGGGTGTTTCCCAGTACTGGGTTGCTGCTGGAAGGGTATCCACTGCACAATATGCTGGATAAGTTGGCGGTTCATTCGACTGTGGTGACCCCTGATAAATAAAGGGACTAAGCTGAAGGAAAATTAATAAATGAATGAATGAAATTCAGCTATTTACAGTCTGAATTAGGGTTGTTTTGATACCGATACTAGTATCAGAAATACTCCCTGATAATGCAAAAATTCTGGCATCGCTATCAGTGAGTATTTGAACCCATAAACTGATCCTAAACCATCTATCTAGGTAAGACATATGCCCACTAGCTTAGACTAACACTGCAAACCGGGAGTCAGTTCAGGTAGAAGAGACCTAGTACTACTTTATCAAATTTCTGAATTTTAAGTTTCAAAGAGGTTATTTTTCTGTTGTTCATATTCGTTATTTATATTTCTTTCATTTTTGCTCCGATTTTTATACACTTACAGTAAAACTTGAATAAATCAATAGATTTTCCTCAGTTTACGGTGTTTGATTTGTGGCTTAACTTGCTTCAGTAACTGTACATATAGTTACTGTTGAATGTCTGATAATGATAATATTCATTCAGGCATTTTCTTTTCAGCTTAGGCCCATTTATTAATCTGGGGTTGCCACAGCGGAATGAACTGCCAACTTATCCAGCATGTGTTTTACGCAGCGGATGCCCTTCCAGCTGCAACCCATCATTGGGAAACATCCATACACTCTCATTCAAACTCAACAATTGTAGCTTACCCAATTCACCTATAGCACGTGTCTTTGGACTGTGGGAAGCACCCAGAGGAAACACACGCCAACATGGGGAGAACATGCAAACTCCACACAGAAATGCCAAGTGACCCAGCCGAGGCTCAAACCAGCGACCTTCTTATAATAATAATATCAGATCATAAAATTATTCTAGTTCACAATGTAATGGATAAGTCTAAAGCACAAAACTAATTCTTTCAACAGGGCTACTACACATGACTGTTTCTGCAGATACACATTCAGGTATAGGTAGCATGGTGGCTCAGTTGTTAGCACTGTCGCTTTACAGCAAGAAAGTCTCTGGTTCGAGCCCCGGCTGCGTCAGTTGGCATTTCTGTTTGGAGTGTGCATGTTTTCCCAGTGATGACATGGGTTTCCTCCGGGTGCTCTGATTTCCCACACAGTCCAAAGACATGCACTGTATTTGAATTGAACTAATTTGGCTGTAGTGTAGGAGTGTGTATAGGAGTTTCCCAGTACTGGGTTGTGGCTAGAAGGGCATGCGCTGCATAAAACATATGCTGGAATAGTTGGTGGTTCATTACGCTTTGGCGACCCCTAATAAACAAGGGACTAAGCTGATGGAAAATGGATGAATGAACACTCAGGTATCGGCCGATACCTTGAGCTCAGGTATTGGAATCAGTTTCATGAAGGGGAAAAAAGAAGAACATCCCTAGTGGAGCACGTTCAGGAAATGTGTGCTATTTATGTCTTGCCTGTAAGAAAACTACTCTGCTTTGATCCTGATAGAACCTTCTCCAAGCCCAAATGCAGGGTACAGTGGTTCAGTGAAGGTGGTCTGGACTTTATAAAGGAGGGTCATTGTGTCAGAGACGCTGTAAAAGGACAGAATTCCTGCTCTGTGATCCAGATACACTCCAATTCTAGAGGCAGGAGGGATATAGACTTGTTTTACATTATGTATGAAACAAAAATGCTGCCCAAAATAGCCCAGTCTCCAGGATATTTTGTTGAAGCCAAATCTACAGTCACCTATTCCTTTACGTTCAATTCCTTTGTAGCAAACAGCAACAGCCCATTCATTCCCACTGCACTCGACCTCCCAATAACAGCGACCAGTCAAACCCTCTTTACACATCACATAATTACATGGATCAAACCGCTCTGGGTGATCAGGATACCGCTGGACTTTATCTGAGCATGACACTTTCCTGTTGTTTTCTGACAAGAGTAGATGTTTGTGTGCAGTGTTTGGATCCAGATGAGGCTCACATTGATCTGAGGATGAAACAGAGAACACTTGGTTTATAAAATACTCACACACTGCAACAGATTATACACATTTTTTGACCTGAAGAAGCCACTTACACTGCAAAAACTCATTTGGAGTCTTTGGTTCTGGAGGATTTACTACATGAACGTTTGACACTTTAAAGAAGAAACAAAAACACAGCATTAATATATTTTTGGTGTAATCCTACTGAGCATAACTAATACAAAACATCAAAACAAGCAGACCTTCTCTGGATATTGCCTCTGTTTGCTGTTGACAGGCGTCCTCTAAAGCCTCTCTGAATAGAGGGAATGAAAGGTCTTTAAAAGACAGATGAGTGTGTGGAGTGAAGCTGGGAACATCTTCACATGTGGGTAAAACACACACAGACTCACAGCTCTGAAATGACACAAATACAAACACTGTTTGCTTTGGGGAATCAGTGAGTTTAGTACACAAATGTGTGATGAAATGCCTTGTATCACCTTCAGACAGTGGATCTGGTCTTCAGTAGTGAGCAGTTTGTGGATCTCTGCTTGTGTTTTTCTGAGTTGTGTCAGCTCTTGATGCAGATGTTGGTGAAGTTGCTCTGCTCGATCTGTCTCAGTCTTCTCCTGAGCTCTGATCTGCTCTTTAATCTCAGAGCGTTTCTTCTGCAGAGAGCCGATGAGCTCAGTGAACACCTTCTCCATCCTCTTGATGGCCTTCTGGGCTGAACTCTGGTGGAAACAGAGAGATGTGATCATACAGAGACAACAGCCTAAATACTCCATTTATGTGAACAGATTCATTCATTTCACACAACGGAATGAACCACCAACTATTCCAGCAAATGTTTCATGCAGCAGATGCCCTTCCAGCAGCACTAGGAAACACCTATACACTCTCGTACTCATACACTACAGCCAATTAAGTACCGGAGCAACCAGAGTAAGCTCACGCCAACATGGGGAGAACATGCAAACTCCACACAGAAATGCCAGCTGGCATTCTTGCTATGAGGCGACAGTGCTAACAACTGAGCCACTATGCTACGTATACCTGAGTGCGTATCTGCAGAAACAGTTGTGTGTACTACTAGCCTTGTTACAGAATTAATTTTGTGCTTTTCATCCATTGATGAAACAAATACATAGTGAACTAGAATATTTTTATGATCTGATATTATTATTTTAAGAAGGTCGCTGGTTCGAGACTCGATTGCATTTTCAGTGCTCTGAACATCTTCATAAGCATTACAGGTAAAGCTCTGCATCTTCTGAAACTCACTTTAAAAGGCTTGACAGCTTTACTGAGTTCCTGTTGACCTTTCTCTCGCTCCTCGATCAGCTTTACACACTCCACCTTTATCTTCTCCAACTCTTTCTGAAAATGTGTAAAGACAAAACACAAAGATAGAAAAAGCATGGCGAACTTATTAAATGTCAAATCAAATAAAATGAAAACTATTCTGTGATAATTAATTTCAACTCAGGGAAATGACACAATTAGAGTTCATTACCTTCTTATTGGTCCATTCTGAATCCACAGACACCACACTGTGGTTCTTATGACTGTCAACCATGCACAGGTAACAAATACACTGATGATCATCCTGACAGTAAATCTCCAGCGGTCTCCCATGACTGGGGCAGATGTTCTCCTGAATGTGTCTGGAGGCGTCCACTAGTTTGTGCTTCATAAACGCAGGAGACTCATAGTGAAGCTGCAGGTGAGTTTGGCAGAAGGAGGCCAAGCACTGCAGACAGGACTTTACAGCTCTGTTCTTCTCTGTAGTGCAAACATCACAGTCCACAGCAGCAGCAGCAGCAGCAGCAGGCGTCTGTAGGGCCGTCTTCTGCAGCGTCTCCATCATCTCAGCTATCAGAGTGTTCTTCTTCAGTAGAGGTCTCTGACTGAAGCTCTCTCTGCATTGGGGACAGCGGTACGGCGGCCCCTGCTCCTTCAGGCTCCAGCAGTCAGTAATACAGCTCATACAGTAACTGTGTCCACAGGGAATCGTCACCGGCTCCTTCAGCAGATCCAAACACACTGAACAGCTGAACTGATCCACATACTGACTCGAGGACGACTCAGACATTTTTGAAGATGCTTCAATAGAAACTGCTCTGCCAGGGGAAATCATCATGATTAGTCCACATGAAAAAGCAAATGTAAAAATATACATGTTTAGTTTTAAGTATCAACATACAAGATTAATCAAGCAAAACTCTGAATGCATTATCATATAAGGTCAAGAGGCTAAAGTATTATCTAATGTTAATATTTTAAATATAAGCAAAAGGATTGTGTATGATGTTCTTACCTGTATGTACAGAATGAAAAGTCAAATATTTCCTCCGTGCTGCTTTAACCACACTAAACAAGTGTGGGTCCTTTTATAGGCAAATGATCAAGAGGCAGAGGAATAAGATTCGTTTCTCTTAAATTATAAACACTCTGGTTTTTACTGTGTGTCTGTGAAACCGAACAGATAATTATTTTTATCTTAAAAAAACATGACTTTGCAGTTTTGTTGCTTTCACATTTGTTCTTGGCTCAAAATCATATTGCTATCTTCTAAAACACACACACAATATTAGTCTGTCCAATAACTGATAGCAAATATAGCTGTAAGTGGCAGTCATCAGGTCCGGTAAAGCCAACTGGACACTTAGAGTTAAAAATCTATCAAAACAACATGAAGATTGAAGATTAAAGGTGAATTTATGGTTTAAATATGTAAATCAAACTGATATCAGAATCTTGACACGGTGTTGATTCAATGTAAATTGAGCACCAAATGTCTGGCTATACTAAATCACTTGCAGTGTGGTATTAAGTTAGTATTTATATGTACCCAGATACCAATGGCACTGCTGTCCAAACTGAATTTAAAATGATGTCAGTTTCAAGATAAATGCTTGACTACTATTTGATAACAGGCTGGGAAACAGATCCTGTCTCTTTTTAAACATAAAGAGTCTTTACAATGAAATATTACCTATTTTATTTACTATATTGCTCTTCATTTTAATTGAACTGTATGTATGACAACTTGACAACTGTTTTCTGAATTCTTTGGAAACTTCTAATGATAAAACAAATTGGTAACACTTTGGTCTAGTACCAATTCTCAACTACTGACTAATTTCCTTCCCTATTGTAAGGCTTGAAGCTTACGCTGCTATTCTGAACCAATAATCGGAAACAGAAAGCAGTTGAAGGATGGCGTGTTTAAATCCATTATTTATCTGACTCCATTGTAATTAATCTGACTCCATTAAAGTTATCATCGTTGATAAAGAGAAAGAATCTCTACATCTTAAAGGAGGCAAAGTTGTTTATTAAGTTACATGTTTAAATATACAGACAGTAGAATGAAACAAACTAACATACTGTATAAAGAAATTAGCAGTAATCAATGCACTGCTGAGCAACAAAGACAGTGAAACTGCCTTTGTTAGCATATGAGGCTACGCACTGGTGTGCGGGAGATGCAGAGTAAAAGCCATTCTCCCAGATCAACAGTTACCTTTCCCTATTATACCCTGAGCAAAGCATTGTCAAACATGAGTGAAAACCAACCCCCAAAACCAGCTGAACATGAGAGCAAAGTTGAAGAGATGAAGTGGGGAAGAAGAACATTAACATACTCTCCTCAGGCCATGACCCAACAATAGTAAATATATTATAGATTGAAATACAATTAATCAATGTCTCTGTTGATTTCATCACTACAACACTGAAGTCATAAACTGTCAAATGACACCAAACATGACAAAGATATCTGAAGGAAGAACACGAGCAGATGAATTGTGTATGGTGAAGAGCACATGGTTACTGTAAGCAAATGGCAGAGATGTGTATCGGAGCTTTGAGGAACTCTGCCTCACCAGGAGGACCCCTCCCATGCTTGGAATGTCTTAGTAGACCTTCATTAGCATAGAAGGAAAAGTAGATAATATTTTCTCAGCTTACACTATCATTAAAATATTAGCTGTTTATTAGAACTTATAAAGTATGATCTTATTCTACATCCCTAAACCAACCCAATACCTAAACACAACTACATTTATAACTACTAATAAGCTGCAAATGAGCAGTTTGAGCTAAATGTCTTTGTTAAGGGTTTGTTAATAGCAAGAATTTTACCTCAAAATAATTTGTGAAACTTTCTGAATCTATTAAATTGTATGAATAAACTGTATTTGTTTCAGGCATAGCTGAAACTCAAGACAACATGAATAAAAATGTGCAAATATTTTGTCTTTATCGTGTCTTAAAAGGTGGACAACAGGTTTCAGCTCAGCAGTTTTGTGTTAAAATTACTTTTTCACCTGAATCACTTGATAGATTTACACAAAGTTTGACATGTACCATTTAATAGACATTTATGACAAAACATTATCAGAATATTTTTAATTAGTCAAACCACAAAGCAGATACTGTATTCATTTTGTAGAGCGCAATAAACGTATTACACAGTATCTTTTAAGCAACTTCATGAATTTATTTTGCATGAATTTGTACAAAGGCACAAAAAACAACAAACATATGACCAATACTATCAAAAATGTTAAGAAAATCTCCAAAATACATGCAATTATTTAATAGTATAATACGTGTTCTTATTGTGTAGCTGAGCTCACATTATGAAAGACTGAAGGGCTTTTTATGCAAAAACAATCCAGCTAGGTGCACATTATCCTGCTTATTACACAGCTACTTTCCACAAGACTAAACAAGCATTTCAGAAACTGCTGATCTACTGGGATATTCACACACAGCCATTTCTAGGGTTTATAGAGAGTAATCTAAAAAAAGAGAAAATATCCAGTGAGCGGCAGTTCTGCGGGCCACTCTTGTTGATGCCAGAGGTCAGAGGAGAATGGCCAGACTGGTTCTAGCTGATAGAAAGGCAACAGTAACTCAAATAACCACTCTTTACAACCAGGTCTGCAGAAGAGCATCTGTAAACGCACAACACGTTCAACCTTGAGGCAGATGGGCTACAGCAGCAGAAGACCACACTGGGTGCCACTCCTGTCAGCTAAGAACAGGAAACTGATGCTACAATTCACACAGGCTCACCAAAACTGGACAAAAGAAGACTGTAGAAATGTTGAGTCTCCATTTCTGCTGCCACATTTGGATGGTCGGGTCAGAATTTGGCATCAACAACATGAAAGCATGAATCCATCCTGCCTTGTATTAACAGTTTAGGCTGCTGCTGCTGGTGGTGGTGTAATGGTGTTCAGGATTTTTTCGGGAGACCAAAATCTCTAAGGAATATTTCCAGTACTTTGTTTAATCTATGCCATGAAGGATTAAAGCAGTTCTGAAGGGGGTTTAACCTGGTACTAATAAGGTGTACCTACTGAAGTGGCCGGTGAATGTACATCCGAATGTGGCGATACGCCAATCAGAATCAAGTATTTTTATAACACATAAACAAGAGTAAGAGTGTGCTTAAATGTGGAGCGAGTTTGGCTTTTATTTCTGGTCTTTGAGAAACCTCTTCTGCTTGATGATCCTGATAGAACATTCTCCAAGCCCAAACGCAGGGTACAGTAGTTCAGTGAAGGTGGTCTGGACTTTGTGGATTAGAGTCATTGTTTTAGAGACGCTGTAAAAGGACAGAATTCCTGCTCTGTGATCCAGATACACTCCTATTCTAGAGGAGTGAAAAACAGGGATTGAGACTTCTTCACTATTATGCACAAAGAAGATATTCTTCTGATAGCGGCTCAATCTCCAGGACTGCTTGTTGTAGCCAAGTATATTGTCATCAGTGTTTCCTTTACGACTGATTCCTTTGTAACAAACTGCTACAGCCCATATTTTGCCATGACAATTGACCTCCCAATAACAGCGGCCAGTCAATCCCTCCTTACACAAGACATTACAGTATGCAGCAAACCGCTCTGGATGATCAGGATATTGCTGGTCTGTATCTGAATATGATATTCTCCTGTTCTCTTCTGACAGGATGAGATTTTTGTGTGCAGTGTTTGGATCCAGATGAGGCTGATAGAAATCTGAAGAATGAACAAAAGTACAAATATTAAAAAGTACATATTGTTTTCAAAATGGTCAAATTGTGATACAGATAACAGATAACATTACACATCTCAATTAATGACTATTTGCCTTGGGAAAGTAGAACAGTACAACTTACACTGCAAAAAATCATTGTATGTTTTTGGTTCTGAAGGCTTTACGGTGTGAACATTTGACACTGAAAAGAAATAACAAAGCAAACATGGGATTTTTTTGGTTTGCTCATATAAAGTATGAATGATACAACATTTTAAGGTATTCAGACCTTCTCTGCTTATTGCATCTGTTTGCTGTCGACAGGCGTCCTCTAAAGCTTCTCTGAATGCTGAGATTGAAAGGTCTTTAAAAGACAGATGAGAGTGTGGACTGAAGGGAACCTCTTCAAATGTGGGTAAAACACACACAGACTCACAGCTCTGAAAAGATTCAATTAAATTGTTAAACAGTAAGTTTGTGTACTAATATGCTGTATATTGTGATGAAATGCCTTGTATCACCTTCAGACAGTGGATCTGGTCTTCAGTAGTGAGCAGTTTGTGGATCTCTGCTTGTGTTTTTCTGAGTTGTGTCAGCTCTTGATGCAGATGTTGGTGAAGTTGCTCTGCTCGATCTGTCTCGGTCTTCTCCTGAGCTCTGATCTGCTCTTTAATCTCAGAGCGTTTCTTCTCTAGAGAGCAGATGAGCTCAGTGAACACCTTCTCCATCTTCTCCACCGCCTCGTCAGCTGAACTCTGGTGGAGACGGACAGACATAATCATACAGAGACAGAGGCAACAGCATAAATACTGTATTCATGTGAACAGTTTCCACATTATTTGCTAATACGTTATCATTAATAGTGTAGAAATACAAATGCTGATCAAGCATACTATCAGTCACATTAATTGGGAAAGAAAATTAAACATTTTGCCTGTTTATGATAGGAGAGATTTGTCATTAATGCAAATAATAGTTTTTTCGTCTATCGTTTAAATCTCTCCACACATTTACGAGCACTATACAGTAAACAGCACTGCATTTTCTGATACTTACTTTGAAAGACTTGACAGCTTCACTGAGTTCCCATAGACCTTTCTCTCGATTTTCAATGAGCTTTAAACGCTCCACCGCTATCTTCTCTAATTCTTTCTGAAAATGTGATTACACAAAAATCAATGAAGGTAGAAATAGACTCCTGAAATTAAATAGTAAGGAATATAAAAAACCTTTTATATATATATATTAGTAATATAATTTAAATGACGGCATTAGCATTCATTACCTTCTTATTAATCCATTCTGAATCCACAGACACCACACTGTGGGTTTTATGACTGTTAATTATGCACAAGCAGCAAATACACTGATGATCATCCTGACAGTAAATCTCCAGCGGTCTTCCATGACTGGGGCAGATGTTCTCCTGAATGTGTCTGGAGGCGTCCACTAGTTTGTGCTTCATAAACGCAGGAGACTCATAGTGAAGCTGCAGGTGAGTTTGGCAGAAGGAGGCCAAGCACTGCAGACAGGACTTTACAGCTCTGTTCTTCTCTGTAGTGCAAACATCACAGTCCACAGCAGTAGCAGCAGCAGCAGGCGTCTGTAGGGTCGTCTTCTGCAGCGTCTCCATCATCTCAGCTATCAGAGTGTTCTTCTTCAGTAGAGGTCTCTGACTGAAGCTCTCTCTGCATTGGGGACAGCGGTACGGCGGCCCCTGCTCCTTCAGGCTCCAGCAGTCAGTAATACAGCTCATACAGTAACTGTGTCCACAGGGAATCGTCACCGGCTCCTTCAGCAGATCCAAACACACTGAACAGCTGAACTGATCCACACACTCACTTGAGGACGACTCAGACATCTTTGAAGATGCTTCAATAGAAACTGCTCTGCCAGGGGAAATCATTATGATTAGTCCACATGAAAAAGCACATGTAAAAATATACATGTTTAGTTTTAAGTATCAACATACAAGATTAATCAAGCAAAACTCTGAATGCATTATCATATAAGGACAAGAGGCTAAAGTATTATCTAATGTTAGTATTTTAAATATAAGCAAAAGGATTGTTTATGATGTTCTTACCTGTATGTACAGAATGAAAAGTCAAATATTTCCTCCGTGCTGCTTTAACCACACTAAACAAGTGGGGGTCCTTTTATAGGCAAATGATCGTTAGGCAGAGGAATAAGATTCGTTTCTCTTAAATTATAAACACTCTGGTTTTTACTGTGTGTCTGTGAAACCGAACAGATAATTATTTTTATCTTAAAAAACATGACTTTGCAGTTTTGTTGCTTTCACATTTGTACTTGGCTCAAAATCATATTGCTATCTTCTAAAACACACACACACAATATTAGTCTGTCCAATAACTGATAGCAAATATAGCTGTAAGTGGCAGTCATCAAGGTCAAGTACAGCCAACTGGACACTTAGTTTTGAAAATTTATCCAAATGACATTGAAATTGGTGATTAAAGGTGTATTGATGGTTTAAATGTAAATCAAACTGATATCAGAAACTTGACATGATGCTGATTTAATGTAAATTAAGCACCAAATATTTGGCGACTGTTAATCACATGCAGTGTAGTATTAAGTTAGTATATTTATTCACCCCGCTGCCAATGGCACTGCTGTCCAAACTGAATTTAAAATGATGTCACAGTTTCAGGATAAATGCTTGAATACTATTTGATCACAGGCTAAGAAACAGATATGGTACAATGGACCAAAACAAGGACATACTATTGTATTCACTATATTACAATAGGCAAAATAATGTCTGTTCATTTTATTGAATAGCACATGATAACATGACAAATATTTTCTGAATTAATCAAAGACATATAAAACACAAATACTTTTGAAATCTAAATCCTCCAAAGGATTGTTAGGCTGCATTAATTAGGGCAACCAGAGCAGGGCACACTCCACAAAAGATATAATTTGAATGGCATCTACACTTATGTTAGTCTGTTTTCAATTATCCCAAGGTCTCCGTTATCCTAGACCAGGCCGTATCCTGAGCAGATGCTGTGGCAGTCATGGAGGAGTGAAGAGCATGAGACTGATTTGTGAAAGACCCAGTGACAAACGAGTCTTCGCATTGATCCTGCAGGCCAGCCTGTGACCTACTCACACCTGCAGCGTCTCCACACTGGACATCCAGCGTTCTCCAGCCTCCGGAACCTGGACTGCAGCTCTGCACAAAAAGTTTGGTCATAGAATAAAAGTTTGGCGCGTCCATAGAGGCGACCTAGGCGGAGGGCAGCATCCCCGACACTACCTGCGCCCTCAGTTATATCCGTGTCTAAAGCGGCGGAAGAGAGGGCGGCGTCCCCGACACTACCCTCAGCACCTGCGCCTTCAGTAATATCCGCATCTATAAAGAGAATAAAGAGGGCAGTGTCCACGACACTACCTTTCCTCAATTATATCCACTTCTAGTGCGGTAGAAAAGAGAGGGTGGCGACTTTCACTTTAGGGTTGAGGGCAGCGTGACCATCCTTTGCCTAGAGCGGCAGTTCAGCTTTCTTCCTGGTCAGAGGAGAAATGGTCGTGCTCAACGGCTTGTTTCTCTCAAGGTTAATTGGTGAAGTTTTCTTCTTCACCACTGGCTTGCTTGGTTTGGGACTTGTGGAGCTGCGTATCGATGGATTTGCTCTTCAGTGTTTGGACTCTCACCAGTGAAAATTAAACCACACTGAACTGCATAGCACTGAACTTCAACTCTGAAAACTGGACTGACAGTTTCCATTTACTAGCACTTCTAAGATAAACTACTTTGACACGATCTTAAAAAAAGCAGTTTCAGCTACAAGTTTTAGCTAATGGTTTGGTAATCTAGTGAAAATCTTTGTATGTAATAGTGATTGTATCTTAAAATAAAGTGTATCATACAGATTCCACTATAACCAATTTCTGAAGTACACATCTGATAATAAACTGAAGACCTATTCAGTGATATTCAATTTGAGAGTCTCAACTAACCATATCATATCCACCTTATGCCTTTTTTCTTAATGTTTTGTTTATTTAAACTACAAATAGCATTTAGATTTAAACATACACGTTTGAGTTCAGCAGCTAAATCTGGAACTCAGTCAGTGAAATTCATTTTTGGTCTTTCTCAACTATCCTTGGTTGGATTATCTTGACTGAAGAACCATTTCCAGTTAGAAACGCAGGGTACAGTGGTTCATTGAAGGTGGTCTTGACTTTATAAAGGAGGGTCATTGTGTCAGAGATGCTGTAAAAGGACAGAATTCCTGCTCTGTGGTCCAGATACACTCCTATTCTAGACGCAAGAGGGACACGGACCAGTCTGTTACCATGTATGAAACAGAAATTTGGTAGACAATAGCCCAGTCTCCAGGATATTTTGTTGAAGCCAAATCTACAGTCACCCATTCCTTTACGTCCAATGCCTTTGTAGCAAACAGCAACAGCCCATTCATTCCCACTGCCCACGACCTCCCAATAACATCGACCAGTCAATCCCTCTTTACACATCACATAATTACATGGATCAAATCGCTCTGGGTGATCAGGATACCGCTGAACTGTATGTGAATATGAAACCTTCCTGTTGTCTTCAGACAGTTTGAGTTCTTTATTTACAGTGTTTGGATCCAGTTCCGGCTGACAGAAATCTGAGGACAGACGCCCACAAAAATCATTACTAATAATAGTGTTTTTATCTAAACATTGCACTGTTTATAATAACTTTGTATTTCTAAAATGCTATTTGCTCAACTTACATTGCAGGAATTGATTTGGAGTCTGTACAACATGAACGTTTGACACTGAAATGAAAAACACAATAATTTAATAAGGTTAATATTTTGTTATAAAGTTTGTTTTTTTAATGTAAACAAAAACATGTGAAATGAGTGATTTTCTCAACGTCATGAAATGTAAATGCGGTTTACTGGATTGTCCAACCTCAGTCCTGGAGGGACGGGGTCCTGCACACTTTTGCTCCAACACACTTCCCTGGAAGTTTCCAATATACCTAGAAAGAGGTTGATTAGCAGGTTCAGGTGTGTGTTTAAGTGGGGTTGGAACTGAAATATGCAGGACACCAGCCTTCCAGGACCAAGTTTGGACTCCCCTGATTTAACATAACACCTTGTGGCTGTTATGTCATGGTATGTCATGGATTCAGGATTATTATGAGCTATACACTACCTGACAAAAGAAAAGTCTTGTTGTCTATCCAGGTTTCAGCAACAACAAATAATAATAAACTTGACTTCTAGTTGATCATTTGGTATCAGAAGTGGCTTATATGAAAGGCAAAGGCCTCTACATTACACTTATTTTACCTAAATAAAATATGATCATGCCTTGATTCTTAACGATTTAATTAAGACAGCAACAAAGGGGTCTGATTTTGCTTAGATGAGTCTTGTCACTTAAAAGAAATAATATACAGTATAGAATGTAAATTCATGCTGCAGTGGAAACAGAAATAATATTGTGTCTGACTCGCATGAGCTTGTAGGACTGCATCCATACATCTCTGCAATGACTCAAATCACTGATTAATAAAGTCATCTGGAATGGCAAAAAAGCGTTCCTGCAGGACTCCCAGAGTTCATCAAGATTCTTTGGATTCATCTTCAATGCCGAATCCTCCATCATACCCCAGACATGCTCAATAATGTTCATATTTGTTGACTGGGCTGGCCAATCCTGGAGCACCTTGACCTTCTTTGCTTTCAGGAACTTAAAAGGCAAGTATAAGGTGCGCTATCCTGCTGAAGAATTGTCCCTCTCCTGTGGTTTGTAACGTAATGAGTTGCACAAATGTCTTGATACCTCAGGCTGTTGATGTTGCCATCCACTCTGCAGATCTCTCGAACACCCCCATACTGAATGTAACCACAAACCATGATTTTTCCTTCACCAAACTTGACTGATTTCTGTGAGAATCTTGGGTCTATGTGGGTTTCAATAGGTCTTCTGCAGTATTTGTGATGATTGGGATGTAGCTCAACAGATAATTCATCAGAAAAATCGACCTCCTGCCACTTTTCCAAATGAACAACTGAAGTCAAGTATGAATTGTTACTCTCACAACTGGGATCGATGACAAGACTTTTGTCAGGTAGTGTAGAAGAAATAGTGTTAAAGATGAGCATTTTCAGATACAGAATCATTCTAATACCCGATTTGGAATATCTGACTATAACTTACAGTTCAACATTTATCATATTTAGATACCATCCTACACACTGTATATTACACATTTTATATTCATTAGCATTTGCACCTTCTCTGCTTATTGCATCCGTTAGCTGTCGACAGGTGTCCTCTAAATCCTTTCTGAATGCTGAGAATGAAAGGTCTTTAAAAGACAGTTCAGTGTGTGGGGTGAAGCTGGGAACATCTTCAAATGTGGGTAAAACACACACAGACTCACAGCTCTGAAAAAACACAAAAGAATTAAGACTATATTTCATGCATGACATATGTTCTGTCCTGTTTGTACCTTTAGTATGTTTTCACATGAAAGTTTCTCACACGCATTTAATCATAAAGACACATCAGCAACTAATCACCTTCAGACAGTGGATCTGGTCTTCAGTAGTGAGCAGTTTGTGGATCTCTGCTTGTGTTTTTCTGAGTTGTGTCAGCTCTTGATGCAGATGTTGGTGAAGTTGCTCTGCTCGATCTGTCTCGGTCTTCTCCTGAGCTCTGATCTGCTCTTTAATCTCAGAGCGTTTCTTCTCCAGAGAGCAGATGAGCTCAGTGAACACCTTCTCCATCTTCTCCACCGCCTCGTCAGCTGAACTCTGGTGGAGAAACAAAGATGACAGAAGCTGAAATACTGTATTCATGTAACCAATTTCAGTTATATCTATTTATCAATTATCACAAATAATGTGATAGAGGAAACCCAGCAGAACACGAGGAAAACATGGAAACTCCACACAGAAATGCCAACTAGCCCACATGGGACTCAAACCAGACGACCTTATTGCTGTGAGGCGACTGTGCTAGCCACTATGCCACCATGCGGCTGAAGTTACCTTTAGTTTAAACTGAAGTCTTAATCAATAAATTAATTAAAACATATTAAAAAGTAATTAAGGTAATCATTATTCACAAACAAACTTGTGTTGTAGTTAAAGTCAGTTCTTGATTAGCTCTTCATTAGTTGATAATAAAGTAACATTAACGGGGTGGTCCAGACTGTATTTTTAAGGCTTGGTTGTGTTTATAAGATGCAAAGCAATGTGTGCTCATGCTTCACTTGTAGAAAATCACCTTTTTATTACTTTCATATTTCCTAGACAGAGTGTGCGCGAGCGAGGAGGGATGCGGGGGGTGGGGGGGTGTGGGGGGGTGCACAACGTATTTGAGGTGCGGGAGGGAGACAAGTAATTTCCGGGAGATTATCACTCATTTGCGGGCATCCAGGAGTCTCTGTGCAGTTTTGGTAGACTCCTGGAACTTTCGGGAGATTTGGGATATCTGCATGTAACATGAGAATCGCATGTGGGACCGATGTTTATTTCTATTTTTCTCTGATGCTCGAATTAAGTTATGTTTCTGTAATATACAAAAGGCAAGCTATCCTGTATTTTTCTACATAAAGGCTCGTGCACACTGAGACGTTTTTTGCTCGCGTTTTCCGTCGATGTTTAACGCCTCGTGACTAAATAAAGGGCGTCAATGTGATCGTGCACACCAACACGCAAAAGCGTCATTTTTAAAAAAACGCCTCATGCTCATTTTTTGGATTTGACGTGCCACGTCAAAACCTTCTCCACCAATCAGATTGGCCCTTTTGCTCACGTGCATGGAGCTGCTGAAGTTACAGTAAACAGCACTTGGAGGCGCTCAAGTGCAAAACTGTCAATGCGAGCGCACATTGAAGAAGATGCCCAGAGGCGATATGAACATGGAGCTGCTTATTGCACTGGTAAACAATAATCATTTCTTCATCGCTAGAGCTGGAGCTTCTACTTGAACCATCCATAACACCAAGCGTGTCAACTTTGTCTTCTTCTGTGTTACAAACGGGTGTCTGAAGCTTAAAGTTGTGTAGCGCCATCGAACATCAAGGAGTGATTTTGCATACTCTTCTGCTAGACGCCAGTGAAAATCGCTTGGGTTTGAATCTGGAAAAACGTCTTGAAAAACGCAAACGAAAATCGTCCCGGTGTGTACGAGCCTTAACTCAATGCGTTACATGTCTTACACATAAATTTGGAATAAGCATGTGTAAGTAATATAAAACATTCACATATCTTTTGTAAGTTTGTTACTTGAGGTGTATAACGCAAGGGTGAAACGGTGGCGCAGTAGGTACTATTGTCGCCTTACAGCAAGAAGGTCGCTGGGTCGAGCCTCGGCTGGGTCAGTTGGCATTTCTGTGTGGAGTTTGCATGTTGTCCCAGTGGGTTTCCCACAGGTGCTCCGGTTTCCCCCACAAGTCCAAGGACATGCGGTACAAGTGAATTGGGTAAGCTAAAATTGTCCATAGTGTGTGTGTGTGTGTGTGTGTGTGTGAATGAAAGTGTATGGGTGTCTCCCAGTAATGGGTTGCAGCTGGAAGG